TTCATTTCTGAGGACACTAATTCTTTTTCATTTCTGGGGACAATCGTTCCTATTTCTCATTTCTGGGGACACTCCTTCTTTTTCATTTCTGGGGACAATCGTTCCTATTTCTCATTTCTGGGGACAATTGTTCCTATTTCTCATTTCTGGGGACAATCGTTCCTATTTCTCATTTCTGGGGACACTCCTTCTTTTTCATTTCTGAGGACACTCCTTTTTTCATTACTGGGGACACACCTTCTTTTTCATTTCTGGGGATACACCTTCTTTTTCATTTCTGGGGACACATCTTCTTTTTCATTTCTGGGGACACTCCTTCTTTTTCATTTCTGGGGACAATCGTTCCTATTTCTCATTTCTGTGGACACTCCTTTTTTTTTAAATTTCTGAGGATGCTCCTTCTTTTTCATTTCTAGGGACAATCGTTCCTATTTCTCATTTCTGAGACGCTCGTTCTTCTTTCTCATTTTTGAGGGCACTCGTTCCTCTTTCTACTTTCTGAGCACACTCAACCACTTACTTTTATTTTAAAAGCCAATCATAGGCTGTAACTGGGTGGCCAGGGACAATGTTAGTATCATCTAAAACTGTTCCAGTTTTCTTACTTGGATTGGGGAGGGGGTAGGGACGCAACACCACTGAATTTGTGTGAGATACATTTTTAACCTGCGACAGTTTCCATTTTAGCCACTAAATTACTGGAGCCACTGTAGCGGGTGGCGACCTTATACACACAATCTTATTTGTGACCCAGACGGGACTCAATGTTTAGCATGGCTGATGTCGAACACAGAAGAAGAAGAAGAAGTAGCCGCAAGTTCATGGTGGTATTGAAGACAAAACTGGGCAAAAAGTTCAACACAAGATATCCTGTCTCAGATATCCTGTCTCAAATTTCTGAATTATTGGTCTGAAATACTCTCACTCTCCCCCCTGATCTTCAAGGGTCAAAGCAGCTCAAAAAGTGATTTATAAAAGGTGAATGAACAAATTTCAAATGCAACTCATAATGAGAAATGAAATTTTACAGAAATTACTGACGTGTCTGACTATACAACGCAATGCTGTTTCATATTACAAGAATAAAAGCAAACACAAGACAAGCAATTCTCCAAAATTATAAAAATAATGAAATCTCAGCAGCAACAGAAAAGTCAGTTAACTAAATATCACAGTGCCTTTTTAACGTGAAAAGTCAATACATGACAATATTTTAGTTTGTACAGGGCATGACAAAATGAGCATGGACATGATAAACATATACAAAGTTATACAGTGTAAAATAGCATACTAAGACTGTCAATGCACACCATTAAAGATGCGTCGCCAACTGTCAGTAACTGTGTGTACTTACCACTTTTGCAGTGTCTGCAAGGGAACTCTGAGCCCGAGGATTTATGGTCGCATGGACATTCTTGCTGCTATGATCTGTGCAGGTTAGGATTTTAGTTTTACCCACTGTGGCCAGCCACTCCAAGGATTGGGCATTAAATTCACTAGGTTAAATTTGTTGAACTGACTTTGTCAGTATCAAATAAATAAAAAAAGAATTTTCTGTTTCCAAAGGTAATCTTCTTTTTCTTCTTTGTGTTCACCAGCTGTACACTCTGGCGTAAAGTTCTGGTTGTTCGTCCACTTCTGGACTGCAGTCATGCTCCAGAACCTGAGTATTGCATGTACATCAGTTTTACAGATCTGATTCAATTGAATGCAGACTGCTGGTTCCTTGCCTCTCAGGCAGATGCACTCCGACTTCAAAGGAAGCTCCCCAGTTAGTCGACTCTTACGACATGCTTTTGGGGAGGCAGTGGGTCTATTCTTGTTTTCCCCACAATAGGGCCCCGGAACCCACACGGGGGACAGGCAGTAGGTCTATTCTTGTTTTCCCCACAATAGGGCCCCGGAACCCACACGGAGGCCAAAGGTAATATAATGTTTATGTGCCTTCTACCACATCTAGATGTAAATTAAGCTTCTGTTATCTGAACCAGGGGGCTGCGTGATCTCGAGGCGTGGTATCCTCCTCGAGTGCTAAACATCCTGGGTTCAGGCTGGGATTTTTTCAAGATGACTTCTAGTTAATTTCCCCTGGTCTCTGGGTAGTGAGATCGCACACCTGAGTGTATTCTTGCGCACACACAAAAAATCCCTTGGCTGTTGCAAATCGAAAAGGAGTAGCCTAACAGTGCTGCTCAGGCATATTGTGAGTTAAAAATTTACCCAAAATATTTCAGGATCCTCACCGGTGCTACGGAGTCCTTGCACTGTGCTGAGCTACTTCGGACTCAGACTTGAGTTGGAAGTAGAACGGAGCACTCATGGGTGCCCTTGTGCCATGATGCTGATCCATTGTTCAAACCTCCTCAAACCTGTTATTGGAATCATTGTCTGTCCTGGTGTTTTTGGTGAACCTCTTCAGATCTAAGTATCTATTATACACCAAGTTATACAATGCACAATACCTGTATTTTAAAACCGTGCAAGTAAAATCTAATGTTGAATTTGATGACTCAATGTTCTATGTAAAATTCCTGAGAGGATAACAGAAAGTTACATAATTTGTGGATTAAATGTTCTATGCAAGATTCCTAAATGGGGAAAACATACACAATTACATAATGCTCAAAATTCACATATTAGAATTGTGGATGCACAATGGAAATAGGGTACTCAACTCTCTAGTGTTGAATTTGTTGACTCAATGGTATATGTAAGATTCTTAATTGTAAAACATACAGACTACTTTACAATGTAAATGCGGAAGGGGTATTCAACTCTCTAATATTAAATCTGTTGAATCAATACTCTATGCAAGATTCCTAATCGGGGAAAAATGAAAACTTTTTACAACTGCAGAATATTCACATACTAGAAATGTCAATGCAGAAGGGGTACTCAACTGTAATGTTAAATTTGTTGACCCAATGGTATACATAAGATTCTTAATGGAGAAAACACCTCTAAATACATTTATTTAATATCTTAACAAGGACAGAGTACATCAAACAAGCACCAGAATGAAATATGTGAAGGCCATACAAGATGTGCGATTCAATTCTAGTATTTTGTTTGATTAACAACTACGAATTATTAGATATGTGACTTAGTCAAGATCAAAAAAGGACAATTTTAAAAAATCAGCTGGAGAAAACTAAAATGGTATAAAATAAGTTTTGAAGAAGAAGAAAAAATCATTTGGTTCTGAAAGAGAAAACATAAATTGTGGAGGAAAATACATGAATGAAATGCACAATGAATATTTGTACAATAAAAGTTTAAAATGGATTCGAAAATGTGTTGGAGTCAAGAATATGCATCTTCGTAAACAATAAGCAAAACATTGATTTCATCGACGGACAGATCAAATGCAGCACCTACAAAAATAACTGGCAAATTTGCAAAGACGCATACAAAAATAGACCACGCAATATTTACAAGGTGAACTTTAGCAATGTAAAAAGAAAAAGACGCCTCTATACATAATATACTAAACATACTGTCTCTTAGACACTGTTAGAATCATAAGTGGCTTATGAAACAAAGCATGTGAAAAACATAAAACAGATGTTACAGACAGTCAATAAGTGCGATGGTATGCAACATATTTCCAGAAAATTGTATGATCAAATGTTCACAGTTCGTTTCTTCTTCTTTTTCATCATTCACACATAACAGGGGAGCTGGCTTGTTGTGTACTGTGGAGCTAGGCTCTGAAATCAGCACCTTTCGGCTCCACACATTCATCAAACAGTTAATTAGTCCTTTTTCATGGCATGTTTGTTAAGAGACATTAGGTTTACTCTTTCACCCCCTCGAAATGTAACCTCTCAACACGTATGGGGAAAATTTTGTTCATGAATAAATGCGGCAAGATGCAGAAAGAGTTCTGGTGGGTACATGATCACTATATTAAAATAAAAAATCTACATAGGTAAAAAAAGAAGACATACAAACTCAGTGATGTCATGCAAGTAGCAGCTGCTAGTCCAGAAACTATATTAGTTTCTGGACTAGCAGCTGCTACTTGCATGACATCACAGAGTTTGTATGTCTTCTTTTTTTAATCACACAGAGCCTCCATTTTGGGTTCCCAGGCCTAGCTTTTTTTTAAGGAGGTGAGGAGGGGAGGGGGAGGGATACGCCCATGGGAATCTAATGTGATAAGAGACAACCAGTCTGCTAAAACTTGAGGTGTTCGTCTAAAAGGTGCAAATGTCGCAGCCTAGCTGTAAGCCACAACACAGTGTCAACCATTCTGTTAAAGGTGAATGCAGAAGAAAAAGAAAAAGCAAATTCACATATGGTGATCCATGATGTGTTTATTTCTTCTCGTCTACATTACAATTATGTCTGTTTTCCACTTATTCTGACCATCAACCACCCTACAGAAAGGTGGTAGGCGGCCATGCTTCACTATCTCACATGATCACCAGAATCCTCACATGATCAACATAATCGTGGATCAGGTCAGTGTTCTTGCCCCCCCCTCCCAATCATATGGCCAAACCATCCAGGTATTTATCTCTCTGCCCTCTCTTGCCATTAACCTTGCCAGTTATACAATTACTTCTCATAACATCCAAAAATCACTGACTATCTGTTGGCCACCTGCAATGAGAAACCCTTTCACAGACACAGGACATGGCCATGAGCAGTAAGAAAAGTTTACAGATGCCAACCATCCCCATCTCTCTCTCTCTATCTCTCTCTCCCCCCTCTCATCTCTCTCTTTCTCTCTCTCTCTCTGTCTCTCTCTCTGAGCACACATCAGACACATATATAATCCACACTTGAGTTAAAACTTCCTATACGACCAGTGTAAATCTCTCCGGAAATCAATTGCATGTTTCATATTTCTACATTATGAAATACAGATTTCTCCAACCGCTGGAATGTTGCATTAACCGAGAAACAGATGCTGGACTTCATCAAATGCACTTCGGCTGTCAAAACTCATATATATATATATAGCCACAATGGCCGGCCATTTATGATGGGCATTATTTAATGCACAGAAATCCCCTGACATTGTTCAAGAACACATCAAAGTTGGCTTTAAAGGTGATCTTGTTCTGCCTGGTAATACACAGCTGCAGCGATGGAGGGGTCAGCTCATTAAAGGCTTGCAGCAACCTCTGCTTGTATTCTTCTGGCTGAATCTGTATCAACTGATTCACCAGATCTTTGTACAAGTCCTGCAGAAATCACCAAAACAGTTTTTCAACCAGTCATCTCTTAATAAAATAACAATTGTGCTGTCTCAACAATGGTAAATGGCTAAAGCATATATATGAATTCACTGCCGTCTTTGCGAATATTACCCAACCTTATCTGCAGTGCGATTCTTGTATCAATCACTCTCTGAAAGCCATGAAAACTACCACCCTCTGAAAGCCATGAAAACTACAACTCTCTGAAAAACATGAAAACTGCCACTCTCTGAGAGACATGAAAACTGCCACTCTCTGAAAGACATGAAAACTGCCACTCTCTGAGAGACATGAAAACTGCCACTCTCTGAAAGACATGAAAACTACCACTCTCTGAAAAACATGAAAACTGCCACTCTCTGAGAGACATGAAAACTGCCACTCTCTGAGAGACATGAAAACTGCCACTCTCTGAGAGACATGAAAACTGCCACTCTCTGAGAGACATGAAAACTGCCACTCTCTGAGAGACATGAAAACTGCCACTCTCTGAGAGACATGAAAACTGCCACTCTCTGAGAGACATGAAAACTGCCACTCTCTGAGAGACATGAAAACTGCCACTCTCTGAGAGACATGAAAATTACCACTCTCTGAAAGACATGAAAACTGCCACTCTCTGAGAGACATGAAAACTGCCACTCTCTGAGAGACATGAAAACTACCACTCTCTGAAAGACATGAAAACTGCCACTCTCTGAAAGACATGAAAACTACCACTCTCTGAGAGACATGAAAACTGCCACTCTCTGAGAGACATGAAAACTGCCACTCTCTGAAAGACATGAAAACTACCACTCTCTGAAAGACATGAAAACTACAACTCTCTGAAAGACATGAAAACTACCACTCTCTGAAAGACATGAAAACTACCACTCTCTGAAAGACATGAAAACTACCTCTCTCTGAAAGACATGAAAACTACCACTCTCTGAAAGACATGAAAACTGCCACTCTCTGAAAGACATGAAAACTACCACTCTCTGAAAGACATGACAACTAAAACTCTCTGAAAGCCATGAAAACTACCACCCTCTGAAAGCCATGAAAACTACAACTCTCTGAAAGACATGAAAACTACCACTCTCTGAAAGACATGAAAACTGCCACTCTCTGAAAGACATGACAACTAAAACTTTCTGAAAGCCACAAAAACTACAACTCTCTGAAAAACATGAAAACTACCACTCTCTGAAAGCCATGAAAACTAACACTCTCTAAAATCCATGAAAACTAACACTCTAAAAGCCATGAAAACTAACACTCTCTGAAAGCCATGAAAACTAACTCTCTGAAAGCCAGGAAAACTAACACTCTGAAAGCCATAAAAACTAACACTACAAGCCTTGAACTCTAACACTCTACAAGCCATGAAAACTAACACCCTCTGAAAGCCATGAAAACTAACACTCTCTGAAAGCCATGAAAACTAACACTCTCTGAAAGCCATGAAAACTAACACCTTCTGAAAGCCATGAAAACTAACACCCTCTGAAAGCCATGAAAACTAACACCTTCTGAAAGCCATGAAAACTAACACCCTCTGAAAGCCATGAAAACTAACACCTTCTGAAAGCCATGAAAACTAACACCCTCTGAAAGACATTAAAACTAAGACAACAAAAATTATTAAAATGAAAGTATGAAACAGCGTCATTGCACACGGTTATAAACCATAAGTGCTCTGCCACCATTGTGGACAGTTTGATAAGAAACCGCCGGCCTGTGTCGCCGTCCTCACCCAACTCCGTAGCAACAGTGATGTTTCTCCATTTACCCTAGAGAGTTAACTCTGGTATCCATTACATAGATGCTGGGCAAACCCTGGGTACCACCCGGTTTCGAACACCGGCCCTGCCCTGCAACGAGTCGCAGCTGGATTTGAAAGCAATTTTCCTATTGACTGCGCTAACACAGCCCCAGGAGAACCTAACACAATCAAAGAATGTACAACTTTACACCAAAAAACCAAGGCACAAAAAGAATCAACAAGAAACTGGTACCTGATTGCAGCATATCAAACAAAACAATGTTGTGCTTCCAATTTCTTGAAGAGACAGATCAAAATTGTCCAAAATCAGCATTCGGAATATAACCTTTGAGAAAGAAAAAAGTTACACAAGTTTTTTTTTTCAGTTTTTTTTTTTTTTTCAAAAGAAGCAGCAGAAGAAGAAGTAATCAAGGCATTCTGATAAATAAACTATTTATCACCATCAAATGCTTTGCTGACTGGCATGGGTGATCATGCTCTTCCATATCTTATAATCTCCAATAACTTGCAATGATCAGTGTTCTGATACCCTTCCATGCCAGAGTAAAACAACTGCAGACTTAATCCTTTTGCCCCATATTATAATTTTTTTCTTAAAGTTACCTTCGTCGAAAGTTCATTACAAAGAAGTGCATCATTATAATGCTCCAAAACACTATCCTAAGAAGCTACAGGAAGAGAAGAAGAAACAGAAAAAACTGTGAGTCTTAGTCGCTTTTAAAAAAAAAATCTTGAGTTAAAACTTATGACCACCAAGCAGACGGCAAGCCTGCCAGTTACTGCATCACTGCTGCCCCCAAGTTAATAAATGGATGGATTTTTCAGATTCACAAACTATCACATGTTATCTGACACCAAGACCTATGCTCTCATAAACACAAAGCAAGCATATAAAAGAAGACCTGCCTTCAAAAAGTGTCCTAGCATGCCCTGTAAGTGCTGCGATGTCTGCGAATTCTGTAAAGAGTGAGTGGCTAGAGCTAGAAGAGATTCAAACAACATCCGCGTCACGTCTGTTCCTGAACTTTGCATACGTTAAGGACAATAGTTCTCTACAACTAGCGCATGTGATCTAACATCTAGTGCAAAGTATCATGACTGATTATTAAAATGTTTGCCTATAGTGATGATAAAATACTGGCCGACTCATCCAATAAAACAAGTTTTTCATTATATAGTCCTATGTTTTTTTAATTACTGTTTATGTTATGAAATGCAGATTCAGAAAATGGTGAGTGGCCCGTTGCCAGAGAATTAATGGTGTGCAAGAGGCAAAAGAAGTGCTTGTGGTTTCTTAGCAAAAGTTATTGGTCGACATTTGGTGCAGGAGAGCCAAGTGTATGATACCACAACATCTAGCTTAAGAATGGATGTGGAGGCGGTCACTGCAGCTTTTTGCTGGTTAGAAAACACAACACACACACACACATCATGATTGTAACTGACTCAGAAAGCATGCTAAGGAAGGTCAGGCATGCTTCACTGCGGAAGACACGGATGAAGAGCATTGTCTGACATTTTTGTCTCCGGGCCACGCCGATGTGTTGGAAAATAAACAGGCGGACAGACGGGCTGGCTCTGCACAACTTGGTGGGATACTGATACATGATAAAGTAGAGGTTGTTAGTGCCTTGTGGGAGAGCGTGTACATTAAGGAGGAGCAGACAGATCACCAGTCTGGTGAGATTCATGCAGCAGGGTGACGAGGGGTTCTAGCAGATGCTCGAGGCTCAAAGGAAAGACAAGAAGGACTTTTAATCAGAATACTACTGGCTGCTGAAGATGGTGACAGAGCGCTTATGGGAATGCCCGAGTGCTGTGATGTCAGTTCTTGAATCAACTAAACTAATGGTGTGCAACTACTGAACTTTTGTAACTGCTGCTTCCATCAACAGCAAACTACATTTCTAGTGCTAGACCGTTTGGCACTTCTGACGGCTGCCTTATGCATTTCATGTGTATGTATTGGCTTTGCTGAAAATCCAGTCTGTGTCAATTCTATCACAAGGGACAGTTTTTGTAGGCACAGGAAAGGGGTAACTATAGTGTCACCCGTTTGCTAAGAAGCTGGAACTACGATTACCTTATAACCTGATAATTGTTTATATTTCACACACAAACAATCCCACAAGTTCTATATACAGCACTTTAGAACTCGTCTTTTTGCTACTTATAACATTTTACTGAGGATTATGTTGTTCAAGTTGTGACAACTTGTAGTGTTATTTCAACAAAGCATCTTACGTCCAATGTTCCAAATTTTACTTGTTTTTAATTTACTTATATGTTGCAAAGTGATATTTTATTCTTAAAGATTTGTTTTCTTACAATTTCTTCTTCTTCTTCCGCGTTGACCAGCTGTGAACTCCAGCAGAAAGTTCTGGTTGTCCATCCATCTACCGACTTTAGTCTTGTTCCAGAACCTGAGTGTTGCGTGTACATCCGTTTTACAAATCTGGCTTGTTTGTATGCAGAATCTTGGTTCTTTGCTTTTTAGGGCAGATGCACTCTGACGTCAAAGGATGCTGCGACATGCTTCTTGGGTAGGCAGTAGGTCTATTCTTCTTTTCCCTCATAATGAAGCCCTAGAACCCACACTCGGATTCTTATAATTTAATTCTAAACCTACTTTCTCACTGTGCAAAATTACTACATTTGTTTCTCTTCACTCTTTTTCAATCAATGCTTCATCATTTGCATACTGGAATATACTAAACTTAAATGTACATTAAAAAAAGTAAATACACATAAAACTTCCAAAATAATGCATGATTAGGGAATCCGGAAAATGTATAAATACTTATGCATCTGTTTCGAAAAAGGATACGTGTTAAATCCTAGTTCGATGGAAGCCATTATATTGTTGAAGAGCTGCTCGGGTAATGTACAGAACTTCTCAGAGTGAAGATCTGACAGGAAGGAGATTAATCGGAAGTAGCAGCTGCACAAACTGGGGAACTGTGGATATAAAGATTATTATTCATAATCTGGTAATTAAGAAAGATGTTAGTGATAAAAAGTATATACACACATCCAAAATAATACAAATGTGTTTGCTGAGAAAGACTAGTTGTTTTCTATGGCTCTGAAACTTGGAGCATAACTAAGATAGATCACAGAGGTGAAAGGAGGTGGGTGATATCTGCAGCAATGAACCTCAAGGGCTCAGTATTCTAAGGAAGAAGTGTTTATGTTTACACTGTATATGTACATGCACACACTCACCCCTTACCAGGCCTGCACACACACACACACACACACAGACATTACAATGCTCGGCTAGGCAGTCACTATGAAACAAAACCCTATAGTGAAATTTCAAAGAAATATGTCTCCAATGCCTTAAATACTTTCAGTACCAATCAACTCATCATACATTTCTTGGTCTTTCTAAACATAAGTTCTGCGGTCTTCAAACAGATCAACATCCTCATGCCTTGCCTAGGTGTTCAAGCGTCTCCAAAGATCTCGGGTCTTTGGTGTTCTGAATCAATTAAAACTGCTGATATTTCTCATTGCCACTGTCTTAAGCCATCCACCATAATGTCTCTTGGTCTGCCTCTGCCTCTTCTACCAGTGATCTTTCCAGCTATCACAATATTTTCCAGTGATCTTTTTCTCATCACATGGCTATGAGAAGAACTTTGTTTGTCTTCTTCTCATTGTTGTATATAATGTTTTATTTTTATTAGCTTCTTTCAAACAATCCTTGTTAGTTACTCTGGCCGTCCACTTTCAGTTCTAATCAACTGATTTCAATCAGACACATGTGTTATATTACCTTTGTATATCTGAATTATTAGTTTAACTACTTCTGTCGCACAGTGTCTTTGTTGAACTCCTTCAGACATGTGTATTTAATTATTTAAATCTGAACTCCTTGGAAGGGACTGAGCCTCGAGAGGCAGGGGGTAAGAAGTGTTGGTGTTGTGGGTAGTGGGTCCCTCCCTTACTTCACCCTAGGTCTAGTGAATATCTGTTCACGAAAGGAGCGTCCATTGTGGTGTCAGCCTCTTGACCTAGCAAAACCTCTCTTACCTCAAGACCATTGTGCGTGGCGAAGAGTCACAGCCTCCCCGAGGTAGTCCCGGTAACTGGGGGGTGCGAATCCCCAGGCAAAACACAATGGATCTAGAGGAGCAAACCTCGATAATAAACCCGGTGCACCACACCGTACTGCCCCCTGTGGGAGGGAAGGAACCAGAGGTGTGCTGAACAGTCTTAGGAATGGAAACAAGTATGCTAACCCCCCTGAATACCGGAAACTATCGTGAAGCACAGGGACTCAGGACGTGACGATCCAGTTGCCCCAACTACTCATGCTTAGGCCATGCTTAGAGACATGAAGAGCCCAGCGAAACCTGCAGGCAATCTGGTGGCGGGGAATGAGAACACTGTGAGCCCCACCTTAGCTACGTGTTAAAGGGAAAGGCAGAAACACAACCCATATTTCCTTTAGAACTGGTACAGGGCATTTCTAGCTGCTGCCCGGGGAGGTAGGTAATCCACAGGCACCCCAGCACCACAATGCCATGAATATGTCAAAATTTAAGAATACATACGAGATCGGTCGTCGCCTCGTCTATCAAGGCCCGCGCCAGACAGTGGGAAACCAGGCTGTCATGTGCGAAAAATTGGCTACTGGAAAATTTGAACTCCTTGGAACAGAAAAGGTTACAGTAACAAGTGCTAGGGACAGAAGGAGTTAAGTTCTCACACACATAACGCACAGAGATCAGTGCAGGGAAAATGCAATCACTAAAGAAGACAAGTCGTCTACGGTTTACTCCCAACAAAACTGATATTTTAGTGTGAAGCACTTCCAGCGATACCTGATACCATGTCTAGTGATGAACATTATATTCTGACCTGGGCTGGGCAGATGATGCATCTCCATATTTACTTACCTTATATAGTCTATTAGAATTTTGAGAGCATGCATCTTCCCTGTGGCTACATACGGATGTGAGTCGTGGACTATCTCTCAGTCCTTAAGAAAGAGAATAGGGGCTTTTGAGCTGAAATGCTAAAGAAAGATTCTCAGAATATCTTGGACAAAGAAGAGGAGAAATATTGACATCTTAAAAGATCTGAACATCAAGGAAGATTGGCTAATAAATAGCATCCTTTCTTGAAAGCCGAAATATTTTGGTCATATCAAGTGCCACGACGGATTGGAACAAATTATAGCAGAAAGCATGGTACCAGGAAGGAGGGGCAGGGGCCGACCAACACGAAGATGGGCACAGGATATAAGTGACTCCTTGAGTGTGAAAGTGCATGTGGCAGGAGAACTGGCGAGAGACCGAGTTTCTTTCAGGCAGACTGTCATGAGAGTGATGTTCTGCAAAGGACCTGCTACATGATGGATGGATATAGTCTTCATGAGCAATATCTCTTGATTCATTCATTCATTCATTGTCCTGTTGTGCCCTTATACATCACACAGAACTCATTATATTCCTCCATTCCATAATTTCCTGTGCAATCACTTCAATATCACAGTTAGAATTCAGTATAGCACCTTTGGCCTCTCTCATCCTCATTTTCTTTTAGGGTTTCTTTTCCTCTTTACTCCTTTTATTTCCCATTTTAGTGCCTGCTGGGGATTCTCATCTTATTTCTTCTCAGGATGTGTCCAATATAGCGCCATCTTCCTGTTGTTACCAGTAGTCGCTCAAAAAATTCTCTTATTTCATCACTACTTCTTGATAATAATATAAAATTCTGTTTACAAAATTGTGTGCCGAATACTTCAATACTTTTTGGGTCCACATGAATCTTAGCTAACCTTTACCCTGCTAATGATTTTCTGATTTCTTTTTTTTTTTTTTTTTTTTTTTTTTTTTGATAGGCTTCTGACTTATAGGCACTATCTCTCCGTGATCTCAAACTTTGGTCTCCGCGAGCTGGAGTACAAAGGGTAATAATCATTAAAGCCACCCTTTTCCAACATTTCATTCCAGACAGCAGCTTTATATTCATACAATCTTTTCCTAAGTGTGAGAATAGATCCACCATTGTTATAATCTGACAATAACATGGAGACACATATGGTAATTAACATCATACAGAACTGACAACAGAATAAAAATGTCAAAAATAAATGAATTCTTACTTTCAACATTTCAGCATTCATAAGTGGGACGATTAATTCCAGACCAAATATAACAATTGTTGCACCATCGATGTTAGAATTATCTCCAGCAGGTTGGTCATCTGAAATATCCCATACAATACTACAATGTCTCAGAAAATAAACCAAATCATGAAATAACACATTGTAAAAGAGAATAAACCAATACATGAACATGAAATAATGCAATGTCCCTGAGAATAAACCAATACATGAATGTGAAATAATGCAATGTCCCTGAGAATAAACCAATACATGAATGTGAAATAATGCAATGTCCCTGAGAATAAACCAATACATGAATGTGAAATAATGCAATGTCCCTGAGAATAAACCAAGACATGAATATGAAATAATGCAATGTCCCTGAGAATAAACCAAGACATGAACGTGAAATAATGCAATGTCCCTGAGAATAAACCAAGACATGAACATGAAATAATGCAATGTCCCTGAGAATAAACCAATACATGAACATGAAATAATGCAATGTCCCTGAGAATAAACCAATACATGAATGTGAAATAATGCAATGTCCCTGAGAATAAACCAATACATGAATGTGAAATAATGCAATGTCCCTGAGAATAAACCAAGACATGAACATGAAATAATGCAATGTCCCTGAGAATAAACCAAGACATGAACATGAAATAATGCAATGTCCCTGAGAATAAACCAATACATGAACATGAAATAATGCAATGTCCCTGAGAATAAACCAATACATGAATGTGAAATAATGCAATGTCCCTGAGAATAAACCAATACATGAACGTGAAATAATGCAATGTCCCTGAGAAAAAACCAATACATGAATGTGAAATAATGCAATGTCCCTGAGAATAAACCAATACATGAATGTGAAATAATGCAATGTCCCTGAGAATAAACCAATACATGAATGTGAAATAATGCAATGTCTCTGAGAATAAACCAAGACATGAACGTGAAATAATGCAATGTCCCTGAGAATAAACCAAGACATGAACGTGAAATAATGCAATGTCCCTGAGAATAAACCAATACATGAATGTGAAATAATGCAATGTCCCTGAGAATAAACCAATACATGAACGTGAAATAATGCAATGTCCCTGAGAATAAACCAATACATGAACGTGAAATAATGCAATGTCCCTGAGAATAAACCAAGACATGAACATGAAATAATGCAATGTCCCTGAGAATAAACCAATACATGAACATGAAATAATGCAATGTCCCTGAGAATAAACCAATACATGAACGTGAAATAATGCAATGTCCCTGAGAATAAACCAATACATGAATGTGAAATAATGCAATGTCCCTGAGAATAAACCAATACATGAACGTGAAATAATGCAATGTCCCTGAGAATAAACCAATACATGAACGTGAAATAATGCAATGTCCCTGAGAATAAACCAAGACATGAACATGAAATAATGCAATGTCCCTGAGAATAAACCAAGACATGAACATGAAATAATGCAATGTCCCTGAGAATAAACCAAGACATGAACATGAAATAATGCAGTGTCCCTGAGAATAAACCAAGACATGAACATGAAATAATGCAATGTCCCTGAGAATAAACCAAGACATGAACATGAAATAATGCAATGTCCCTGAGAATAAACCAAGACATGAACATGAAATAATGCAATGTCCCTGAGAATAAACCAAGACATGAACATGAAATAATGCAATGTCCCTGAGAATAAACCAAGACATGAACATGAAATAATGCAATGTCCCTGAGAATAGGCAACAAAATGAGCATGAAACAAAAAATTCAGAGAATAAATTAAAACATGAACATGTCCCACACACTTCTCCAGCTGAAAGTATCTCCCTTCATTATCTGCTAGTTAGCTTCAGCAATGTATTAGAGATGGGTGAAACTCAGGTGTGGTTGTTGGTCCTCAGAACCGATAACAATCTGTCCAGGACTGCCTCAAGGCTCTCCACTGTCTCCACTTCTATTCTTTTTCTTCTGCGTTCACACCAAATTCTATTCAATGTATATACAGTAGTGAAAACTAAGCAGCAGTTGGGAGTGGCAGGATTATAATTTGCTGATGACATCTTGGTATACCGACATGGAAAAGATTGCTAATTCAATGCAAAGTGAACTTAATCAAATCTCCTCCTGGTGTGTAAACTATAATGCACAGGTCAACCCTTAAAAGGCCTCAGTAATGTGGTTGTCCTTGAATACGCATATAGTGAAGGCAGTGGAAAGCAGCAATGAAGCTTTGACAACAACAAAATCAATGACATATCTCAGAATGAGGTTTGATCACAGTCTGTTCTTTAAAGAACATGTTAACCATGTAATAAAAACATGCAAAGGCCTTTTAATAAGTCCTGGCAGCCGCCAATACTAAGGACAGACTGCTTCTGCTCCAGGGAATTGTTCTTTCTTCTATCGAATATGCTTTAGCCATTCTCATTGTCAGCTATACTCAGATCTTCTTGACTTCCTACCATGAAAAACAGAATTAAGATTTGGAGGGCTCATGTATACCCGGAGATAAGCTCCGATCTAAAGCACCCTGAAAAAGGGTAACAGACTAAATAGGTGCAAATCATAACTGGGTAGAACAGAGGATGATATCAAGCAGGTCTGCAGTCTTACAAACATCCATCCTGGTGAGGTATGGATACCAGTGCCTAAAGCGGTCAATCGCACTTTCTTCTGTGTCATCACACTTGATAGGAGTTGTCTGGAGCAGAATTTGCAGCTGAGGTCTGCACACTTGTCAGTGACAAGGCATCACTGCTAAGAATATATGAATTGGTAGTAAAGATCGGCACAGCCAAGCATGAGAGGCACACCAGATGCACAGGAAGTCTTGTCAACCAGCACAGGGCTCGCACAATTAACTGCGTGACACTGATGAATATGTTGAAGGGGGAATCTGAGCGCCTACGGATGTGTCCAGTGTGCAGTGAAGATGATCCAACTCATACCCCAAGTAACAAGAACGATTAATACCACCTTTGCTGAAGTCCAATAGATCCTTTGACATGAGATTGGTCAGCATTTCCATTATCAGAATGATGTCTCTAAATTTGGTTTCTTGTTCATCTTCTGCAGAGAGGCACTGCCGACCTGCAAAAGGAATGGTGTTTTCAAACGTGTGCCACTAATAGAAAGATGTACATCTGGCAATTTTAACTCTATATCAAAAGATATCAGGGCAGATGCTCAAGAGGAAAGATAACAATTATATTTTTTTTTTAAACAAGTACTGAGAGCAGTATTTTCAACAAGACTCAGTATATAAGTGGAATTAACCAGATTTGTTCAACATGGTGTGGTAGAATTAAACAGATAAGAGAACACGATATGCAACTGTTGGGATTCACTGGGGTAAGGGAGAAGGACCATCAACATCTTACTCTGCTCAGCAACATTCAACATTAAACAAGGGAACACTAAAATATTCTCTAAGAGCAAAATTAATAATTTGTTGATCCCAATTCTGCTGAGTTGTCTATACATGACAGATTACTGTTATGAATCAGTAACCAGTAATCTAATCCTGATATCCCAGTGCCACAATTCTGGTGATGCAGGTCCTTTGCAGCTATTCAAGGTACCTATAGATTAACAGTCAGAGATGGCTATAGTAGACTTTTCACCTGGCTTTTGAGTATTTTCAAAAACAACTGTTAGCAAAACATTAAGTATTAGTGTTCTAACAGCACGCCTATTGCAACTTCACCTGTTAAAAAAAAACTAGTGTATCTGTAGGAAAAACATTATAATACTAATTTCAATGCAGGTGCCAGTGGAAGAATGGAAAGACGGCTGGGAAATAAACGAGCAGAACACATTATGAAATATACTACACACTAATGCATGAATATTCTAGGGAACAGAAAAAAACATGTGAAGACAAATTCTTGTAATGCATATCTTCTGCTAGACTCCAGATATGTGATTAAAAGATTTTGTGCTTTCCAGGTATTTTATTATACATAACATACTGACGTATCTGCAGTATGCATGGGCAGTACGGTATCATGCAAACAGAAAGAACGTGTATGGTTAATCTAAGACTGTGGTGGTAAAATATACAATGAAACAATCGAAAGACAATATTTGTGTGTGCTCTACTACTAGTCTGCCTCTGATGAGATAACATGAAATGTGCCAAGCATATGTACATATTCAGTAATCAAGAAGTGACTAACATACCTCTTACTAAACACTCACCAAAATTATGTCTGGCAAACGTCTGGATGGCTGCGAGACACAGTTGATAAAGTGACTGGGAATAAGCCTATAAAAAATAAAGATTAAATTTACAGTACAGGGGAAAACACATACCTTTTTTCATAGAAATGATTCTTCTTTCACTTTCACTCTTATTCTTTCAGTCCTAAGCAAAGCATAATATGTGATTAGCTCTCTGTGAATCCCACCCAACATGTTATATATTCTAATACATTTTACATCTGGTCAGAGCATTCTTCAGAAATATGGCATGAAGTATTTAGCTCTGTGAAAGTGATATACTCATTTGTTTTTCATGTGGTTACTTATACATATAATATGAACACTGCCCTGCCCGCTAGCATAGTTGGTCAAACCTGACTTCGCAGCAACTTGTGGTACGGGTTCACACCAGGGGTTGGCAGAAAAGTCACATTTTGCCCAGATTTACAGTATCTATCATGGAATTAAGGCCGAAGGGTTGCGATATCCATAGTACCAAGCCAAAGGGTTAACAACTTATGGTTTCTGGATATTTAAAAAAAAAAAATACATATGAACAATTTCTGTAAAACCATGCGATACCCAACACCATTTATGATATGCTTGTTCAGAGACAGGTAGGACCCCCATCCCTTACAATCACTTCTCATTTTCCCCAGGGGCACAGGAACCCACATGAGGAGCTACTTGCATTAGAGTCTGCCGAGAATTAATCAATAATCAGCTTTGACCCCAACTGTAAATGTGGGTCTCTGAACCCACACAGGGAGTAAATCGGAGTACATCTGCCTGAGAGGCAAGAAACCAACAGTTTGCATGCAAATGAGTCAGATGTGTGAAACAGATGAGCACGCAAACACTCAGTTTCTGGAACAGGACTAGAGTTCAGAAGTGAATGAACAACCAGACCTTTCCGCCGGTAAATGTGAAGAAGAAGAAATAATAATCAACTCTGGCCACAACTGTAAATATGGGTCTCTGAACCCACCTTAGAAAAAAATGATGATTCAAGTGTCAGGAAATGACAGAATGTCTTTCTGGATTCAATATAATAATTTACTAAACAAACAAAATAAAACACAACGATCTCACAATAAAGAATCGAAATCACAGAGGAAAAAAGAAACAACTCAGATGAAAAACTAATAGGAATTATTTTTTTTCAATCTACAGTAAAGCATTCTTCTGGTTCTTCTTAATTACTGTTAGAAGGTAAAGACTGGTTGAAACATCTGCCTACTGTCTGTGTGACTTTCCTTTCACCAAGCTACTGCTTTATACGTGTGTGTTTCATCACACTTTCATATCAACAGTCCTGCCTTATTTCCAGAGGCATAATACAAATACTGTGACTTTCCATTGATGATTCTTCAGATAATAGTCTGATGGCTTCTCCTACCTTCCACATCCGTACAAGGTGTTGCACAGGCTATGATCAACAAGAACAAGAAAAAAACCTCCGACTATCAGAAATTTAAATCTGGGCCAGTCTTGGCAATCCAGTGAGCAGGTCAAAAAGATCCTACAGTTAACAGTGCATCTTCGTCTTCATTTCCTCTTTTACCGCTTCAGGCGTTGAGGGAGATATAAGGTTCTGCTTCTTCCACTTCTGTCTGCCTCGACCTTGTGCTGCTGTAGAGTGTCTATGATGTTATATTTCAATCTTGCTCTGTTTACCTCATGCTCTACGTCTTCTCTTCTTTTAGTATATCAAGAAAGGGATAAAACTGAACAAAAAGTCTATCAGCAAGCTTCCCAATATAACAAACACAAACAAAACGTGAACGTTGCAGCTATGAAGCCTTTATCAGCACATACATAAATCAGACAATACCACAAAAATGCACAAATTCACTTATCTTAGTATCTAGAAGCAGCCAGGTTGATGTCTTGCCTGTTAGTGTATGCTTGTATGGTATGATGTCACAAGGCATTTTTCTTGAAGTGGGCAATATTAGCTGTCTCTGTAAGTAATTTAGAACTGTTTCTGTGCTGACTTTTTCTCTTATGACCTTAATCTTAATTTTTATCTCTTCTGGTCGGTCCTGCAGCTTCTCATTTCCATGGTTACTAATTCTGCTTAATATGCTTTGTATTAAATGTTTCTCTGGGCTAACTGAGATTGTCTTATGCTGTAACAGGGGGACTAGTTGTCCTAAAACATGGTTCAACAGTGTATGATTTGAAGAAGAAGAAAAAGGACAAAAGACTACTTACAGTATTGAGGAATGGTAGCATCTTGGCCACAACTTCAGAAAACAGTTCAAAGCTTGTGGTTACAACGTCTGCATAATTATGATGGATATCAATGGCCTTGACCACATGTCTCAGCAGCGGAGCCATAAACTGAAACACACAAATGATCCAAGTACTGGAAGATTCTAGGACAGATCACAGCTACATTTTTGTTTGTCTTAAATGTATATCTTCTTCTTCTTAGTTCACCAGCTGTAAATTGTGGTGGAAAGTTCTGGTTGTTTATCCACTTCTGGACTTTGGTCCTATTCCAGAACTTGAGTTCTGTATGCAATCTGTTTCACAGATCTGGCTTATTTGTATGCAGAGTTTGGGTTTCTTGTCTCTCAAGCAGAAGCACTATGGCTTCAAGGAAAGATCCCTAATCAGTCGCCATCCACAGAACCCACTTAGGAATTATTTGAAGGTCTTTAGGCCTGGCGTCTGCTTCGAGTGCTGAAGGTCCCAGGTTCAAGCCTCGGTAAAGGCTGGTATTTTTTCACGCAGACTTCAAGTAATTTCCCCTGGTCTCTGGGTAGTAAAATTGGGCGCTCGTGTGTATTGCTGCGCACCTAAAAAAATCCCTTGGTAGTTGGAAATCGATAAAGAGTAGCCTAATGGTGCTGACCAGGCAAAATGCGGAGTTAAAAATCTACCTAAAGTGTTTTCGGATCCTAAATCTAATAAAATAGATCAAATCGTTACTGAAAATTTAATCTCTCTTGTGGTATTAACTCTCTACGAATTAGTCGCCACTTAAGTAGTCACACATTTCTGGTTTCTCAGTTCTGAGAGAGTTGGAACGCTTTGTATGCAGTCCTTGCAATGATGGAACTTTTGTACAGCCGTGAGGAATATCTTTTGTCCTTACAGATGAAAGTCCTTTTACAGGGTTCAGATGTCTTGACCATCAATACATTGCATCAAACTTGAAAATCAGTGAAGTCTTTGGGCAGTGGCCTACATAACAACTTTGATACTGGCTACAATTTAATACTGTATAGACATGTTGGTTATGACTATATATGCCACACACACAATTTCAGATTTTAAAAAAAAGGGAAAGGGATGGTTAAATATTGTTATAAATCACATTTTTATTTTTATTTTTGCATCAAGTGTGATATAATAATCTTATAATATTAATATGGCATTTTCCTGGATGTGGTCAGGTCAACAAAACCATGTTTATTATTGATCAAAGAGAAGGAAAGCAGTTAATTTTTGCTCTGTTTGTATTTAGTGACTATTTCCGTATGCATAGAAAAATTCATTTTCTTGTACTAATGAATTATAATGATTTAAAGAAATTTCAAACTGTATTTTTATCATCCATGGTATTCTCATAATTTTTCTTTAAAACCATTTCTCCACCGCTTCCACACAATTTTTCACTAAGTGGCTAACCATCAATAATTTATTACCGGATATTAGGATAGAATTAAATAACTCTTGAGAATTCTCTTTCTCAACTGGCAAAGAAAAATTAAATAGAATATTCATCATTTTGTAAAATTCTGCCTTTTCTTGAGCTATTCATCATTTAACTTATTTTGTACATCTTCCATCTGCTGCTATTAGGGTATCCAAGTAGTTTGTTTGTTTTAGTATCCAGAAGCCATGAGTTGTTAACCCTTTGGCTCGGTATTATGGATATCGCAACCTTTTGGCCTTGATTCCATTGTAAATACCGTGAAACTGGGAGAAATGTATCTTTTCTGCCTACCCCCGGGAATGAACTCGGACCACAAGGAGTTCGTCACCCGGTCACCACGCAATCCGGTTTAGCCAACTACGCTAGAGAGCCGGGCGATCCAAGTAGTTAAACGTATCAACTTCCTTGGAAAAAAATATGTCACTAGACATATAATGTTTACTGTGCTGGTGTGTGAAATAATCAAGAAAACTAAATGACAGCGAGCAAGCTTAATAGGGGAAACAGCAAGGAGAATTCAGATTTATAAATAAGTGGAAAATTTTATACATAGCACAATAATGACAAGAACATAGCCCTAAGATGATAAACTATGACCAACCATGCTTACTAGCATGCCAATGCCATATAATGACTGATGCATGGCAGAAGAAAGCTGGTACTGTGAAAAGACATGATCACCCAAGTCAGTCAGCAAAGCACCTGATGAGAGATGATGATGATGTTACCTGAAACATCACCTGATGAGAGATGACGATGATGTTACCTGAAACATCTTGGTGGCTATGGAATTCTGTGTGGCTGTGGCTACACCAATCAAAGACTCCAACAGGTAGAGAAATTGCTGCCTGCTTCCCTCCTTGCCAGATTTGAATCCTTCAGACTCAACCACATGCAGGAACCGCTCATAGTTAGAATGAAGCAGCTGCAAATAAAAAATGTAAAACATCACATATTAAGCTTCCCAAATCTCCTTCTCCTACAATATAGAATTAAAAAGATGGGGAACACTTGAGGCCGTTTAACATTGTGTGTGCTCGCATGCTTGTGTGTATATATATATAACAATTGATGAGCACTCGTAGAAATAAACAGAAAGATAGACGGACACACTAGACAATTTAAATTCCAAATCTATAGTTACCATATCATGGGAAAAACCTGTCACCTACAAATGACAACAGCACTTCGCTGAATAAACTCCTCCAACTACCACTACCGCTGCTGCTGCCCCCCCCCCCCCCCCAGCCTTTCATCTTACATGGGTCTCTGAGGCAAACTTGCCATATGCCCTGATGGCTGTGTGAACTTGAACTCTGATTTTGTGCGCCAGATCCCTAGGGTTGCTGCAGTTAAGTCGGTCATTTTACCTTTGAATATGTTTTTTTTTTTCTCTTCTCCAATGGAGCACATAGTGCCAATTGGTCTATTCAAATATAGATCTAACCATATATTCCCAAAACGCCTAAAGGCGTGGAAAAGGGTATTTTTTTTAATAGAACACAGGTCCTCTATTCATCTCGTCCAAAGTTCATTGTGAATTTGTTCATGACTGGTGGGCTTTTGCAGCAAAAGCTTTCTATAGAATGAATTAGCCAGCCTTATATGTTAGAAATATGCATTAGCCACTACAAAACAAGGATACTATAATCAAAACAGGGTAACATGGAGACAGGATTACAGGAACTAAGCCAGTAGTTTTCTACCTTTATCACGTGGCACCCTGTCCCTTTTCCAAGAATATATGGTATATGGGGGGGGGGGGGGGGCTGCATGGTCTTAAGGCATGGTGTCCGCCTCGGGTGCTAGTGGTTCCGGGTTCAACCCACAGTAAGGGCTGGGATTTTTTTATGTGGGCTTGGACTTCTATTAATTCTCCCTGGTCTCTGGGTAGTGAGATCCGACGCCCATGTGCATTGCTGCGCACGTTAAAACAATCCCTTGGCAGTTGGAAATCGAAAAGAGTAGCCTAACGGCGCTGCCCAGGCAAAAATTTGGAGTTAAAAAATTTACCCAAAGTATTTCAGGATCTTTGCTGGTGCTACAGAGCCTGTGCGCTGTGCTGAGCTTCTTCTGACAGATTTGAGTCAGAAGAAAGAACGGAGCACTTATGGGTTACCACCCATGTGCCATGATGTTGATCCGTTGTTCAAACCTCAAACCAGAATATACGACAGTTTTTTTAAATGTGATTAAAAAGAAGGAGCTAGATGTATAAACTGCACATTAAAACAAAAAATGTCCTACACTTTTCTTTTAATAAAAAGTGTTACAAATATTTTATTTATATAGATTTTTTAAAAATATATATCAGTATAACAGATCATTGCAAGCAAAATTTTAAACTTTCTTGTGCCTCCCAGGTTTAAGACCACTGAACTAAGCAAAACCAGTCTCACCAGTTTCCAGTACTGCTCCTCTTGTGCAGAATCCTTAATACTGCAGCCCACCAACACCATAGCTTTCATAAACTGTCTGCGAGCATCAGGTGACAATGTGGAGACAGGAGGTTCCTGGCGTGACTCCAGCCTTGCCAGGTTCCACAACACTTCTGATTGACTCAGATACATTGCCCTGGAAAAAAAGCATGCTGACAAATAGAGACACACTTCCAATTATAACATTTTCACATTTATTTACTTGCTGCCAGACTGTTCAATATGTTCTCTCTTAGTGTCCCTTTCCTTCTCTTACCCTTCAACTTTCCCGCTGTCACTGTGTACTCCACTTTTCTCCTTCTTACAATGTTCCCAAAGAATATATATTTTGTCTTCTAATGTGGGTGCTCAGTTCTCTTTGTGAGTTAATTTCCTTCAAGACATCTTCAAAATACTTTCTGTATGTGCTTAGTGTAGTCATTCTTCTATAAAACCATATTTCTGCACTTAAATTTTCACAAAGTGTTCAGGATGTGCATCGAGGAGAATTGGCTCATAAACAGCATCCTATTCTGAAAGTCGAGGTATTTTAGCCGATGGAGAATAGTTTCCAGAAAACGAGGCAGAGGCAGGGCTCCACAGATGTGGATACAAGACACTGAAGATGCATTGGCTGTGAAAGCAAAGGTGAAGGTAAAGTCGGGAGATGTGAACCAGCGTCACTGCACACAGTTATAAACCTTAAGTGCACGGCCACCAGTACAGACAGCTGATAAGAAACTGTCCGCCTGTGTCGCCGTCCGCACATAACTCCGTAGCTACAGCGACATTCCTCCATTCACCCCAGAGGGCTGTGAAAGCACATAGAGCTGGAGAACTGGCTTAGCCAAGAAAGACTTTTCAGGCATGTCGTGGCGACAGCGATGTTCTGCAAAGGACCTGCTGACTGTTAAAGATGATGTCCAGGATGTCAGATAAAGAACAATAGTGGGACAGCCCATCTTCCAGAATGGTCCAAGTTATTTGGTTCCCAACTCTTAGTCCAACTCACTTATGGCCAGTTAGGAGCAATGCCAGGTCTTATGCCTCAAAGAGGTCTACCCAAAATAACAGAAAACATATATGGACTCTTCTGAGATAACCAGAAAAGGCCGGGGCACAGAATAAAAATAATGCTCTTGGATGCGCAAGGGGTGAAAAAAGAAAGAGACAAAACTATATAAAATTGGTCTCAATGAAAGATCTTCTCCTTCAGGTGTGGCCAATCAAAAACTATGGGGCACCACGGAAGACTTAAAGTGCTCAGTCTTGTCCGACAGCCATGCTGGAATGCACACATGGCAAATAACTGCTGGGATATAAGACCTAGTATTCACTTCTGTTCAGATGGAGATGAGTCCAGTGACCTTCAAAAATGATCAGCTGCTCTTAGTATGATCTTGAAAAACTATACTGAACTGTCATAGATACATGCATATACAGCAACCCACTGTGGTATACCAGGAAATGAAACTGTAGATAAACTTGCTAAGAAAGAAGGAGAATGTGACCAGGAAGATTATGCAGTAAAATACTTTAAGAAGAAAGGGACCATCAGAAGTGAACAGAATCAGGCCAGCTATGACTAATACTTACTTGGCCGACATGAACACGTCGGTCATCATTCTACTCCTCAGGACAGGGCACACAAAAACTTGACTAGCTTATGCATACATGGCTTCCTCTGAGTAGTTCACCCCTGTGAGCTTCAGAACAGGTAATGCAGACTGTCCCTTGTACAGGCCAATAAGAATAGAATACTGGCCCACCAAATGAGTCAACACCATACTCAACGTTGTATGAAACTAAAAAGTTCCCCATGTGGCTCCAATGTGGGGGGAAAAGAATAGACCGACTGCCCCCTTAACCAGCATATTGTAAAAGTCAACTAATCAGAAGTGCTTCTTTTGAAGTCGCAGCACCTGAAGTTGGAGCGCATCTGTCTGAGCGGAGAAGAACCAACAATCTGCACATAAATGAACAAGATCAGTAAAATGGATGTGCATGCAAAACTTAAGTTCTGTAGCAAGACTAAAAGTCTAAAAGTGGACAAACAACTATAACTTTCCATCAAGTTTACAGCTGGTTAATGCAAAGAAGAAGAAGAACTAAAGAGGCATTGACACACACATACAAATTATCAATTTTATCGCAAGAACTTGTCTATCAGTGTAAATAAAGGAAGCAATTACAAGAAGAAAAACAAAGAACTTCTGTCCATATGTTTCACTTCAGTGTATCAAAGGTTCGCTCTAAATAGCTCTTAAAACTCTATGTCACCTCATTTGACAAAATCAGACTGCAAACAATATCTGGGAAATTCTGTTTTTTCTTAAGCAACTCTTAGTGTCACCTGTTTAACACCCAGCTGAAAAAACATTTATAACAGAGACTATACATACCTAGAACTCTGTTCAGACAAATCTGTGAGAAGTTTCAGTGTATCAGTGATAAGCCCTGGCTCAGATGACCATACAGACATGGTGGTGACAATCTTCTGCAGCATGAAATTCACTGTCCATCGAACTCCTTCTGTGTCCATGCCGAAGGCAGTGGCTAATGCTAAACTCATCTAAATGGAACAAACAAAGGAAACATTATAACGACTAGCTACATCATAAACTGTTTAGAATGGGAAGTTTGTTTTTAGGGTCCAGATTTTTTAATGAGACTGGATTTTAGTTTATGTGCCAAGCACCATTAACCAAAGTGCTTATTTTCAACTGAAACTTAACAGGAGAAAAACACCCTGTACCAAACATGCAAACACCACTATTTTAATAGCAAGAAAGCCCTGACATTCTGCATTCGTTCTTTCTTTCTTTTTTTAAGCATTCATGGGTTGAAAGGGCTTAAGTTGCCTTATCTTACTTTGCTTTCTAAACTTCAAAAGTACTCATTCCCCTTCTCTCAAATCTAGAGTTTCCAGTGCAAGAATATTCTAGTTACATTATCAGGTATTGTTAAAGGAAAAACTGATAATTAATTAATTATATTATTCAGATGTGTGATGAGGCAGTCGCCCTGGCGAAGCGGTTAGACGCTCGCCTTCTGATCGTAAGGTCGTGGGTTTGCTCCCTGGTGGAGCCCAACTTTTTTCAAAAATGACCTTGGCTCTCAGGTCGACCCAGCCTTGGGTGGGTTCCAGGTGCAGTTCTGGGAAGTAAAAAGCAGCCGGCGTGATGCTGACCACATCACCCATCTTGTGCTGATTGGTCTATAAAATATAGGTCTAGCCCTATATGCCATATACGCCTAAAGGCGTGGAAAAGAGTCCTTTACTTTACTTTACTAGATGTGTGCTGATGTTTATATTATTTTTTAATACTGAGTTACTTGAGTTTTGCATACATACTCTTGCGGGTAGTCAGCTGTTTCTTTTGTCAAGTATAATCTTGTATTTGTATTAAGCTTCTTCTTCTTCTTCTTTCCTCTACTCCTAGAATGTCTTGCTGCGTCAGAACAGGAAGAGATCTCGGGAACAGGCCCTTCTATTCGCTTCCTATAAAGTCCTTTCAGTGTCTCTGATATTTCCGCAGTAAAAAAAAAACTAACAATCTTCTGCGTGTCTAAGGCTAATTTCTCTATTTCAACTTCTGTTGTGTCCCATATTTCACCTGCTCTGTGCAGGTTAGCCTTCAACAGAAAAAAACCATAACCTTGTTGAAGATAAAGACTAACAACCCCTGGGTCTCCTACGAAACCTCCCAGCGGTTCTTAACTGCTCAGTCAGCTGTTCCTCAGTAACTGATCTTACCTCCAGATAATCCATCTCATCATGCAGAACATAAGCATCAGACCACCTCTCCAGGAACCACATGACTGTGCTGCCCACTTGAGGACTCAGGAAGTCAGTCAGTTTTGCATCCACTGCTTGATTCTCAACTTCACACAACCTAAACACTGCTGCAATCAACCTGTAGTCAAATTTAAAAAAAAAAAAAAAAAAAAAAAATGGTACAATACTTTCAATCTTTGTATTTACAACAAATTATGACCACACACACAAAAACTTGTAAAATACTTTCAACCTTTGTATTTACAACAAATTATGACCACACACACACAAAACTTGTACAATACTTTCAACCTTTGTATTTACAACAAATTATGACCATACACACACAAACTTGTACAATACTTTCAACCTTTGTATTTACAATAAATTATGACCACACACACACAAACTTGCACAAGACTTTCAACCTTTGTATTTACAACAAATTATGACTACACACACACAAACTTTTACAATACTTTCAACCTTTGTATTTACAACAAATGATGACTACACACACACAAACTTGAATTCTTTCAACCTTGTATTTACAACAAATTTTGACCACGCACACAAAAACTTGTACAATACTTTCAACTTTTGTATTTACAACCAATTATGAACACACACACACACACACACAAAGGTTAAAAAAGAACATAACTCATAAAAATCCATGCTGCCAGATGTGCATAGTTCAAATGCACTAATTTTTAATGTTCTGTTTGTCAGGCAAGATGCAAACAGCAGAGAATAGATAGTGAGGAATAACAATGAAATTCCTAACCTGTTTGAGCCACCAATAATTACTGGTTATCTTTGTCTTTTACACATTCACCTACTGTAAACTGGCAGAAAGTTTGGGTTGTTTGCCCACTTCTGTACTTTAGTCCTGTTCCAGAACTTGAGTTTTGCGTGCATATACATTTTACAGATATGACTCATTTGTAAGCAGACTGCTGGTTCCTCGCCTCACAGATGCACTGACTCCAAAGGAAAACCCCTTATTAGCAGACTTTTATGACATGCTTGTTGGACCTTGAGGGCGTGGAAGGGGTCTCTCCTTCAGCAATCTCTGCTAGAATATGACCAGGACAGTTTTCAAACAGAAATATTTTAATATTGAAGCCAGGATTACTATTTTTTTTTTAATGCAGTTTTAGAGAAACTTTCTGCAGAAAAGCTTTCATTTTAATGACTAAATTTTAAATATGCTGTCACCTTCACCTATGTAATCTGGGAGTCATAAAACACCGAAAAAAACACTGCCAATAACGGCCTTTATTACCACTTTTGCATTGTAAAAGGGGGGGGGGCTATAAGCCTAAAGATTTACAGTCACATGGCTAGTGCTGTCGCCACAATTGTGCAGGTGAGGATTTTATTTTGCCCCCCAACAGAAAAAATACCCAACCTTACAGAGTCTCCTGCTTGCGAGCTTAGTGTTTAACCACTCTGCCAGCCGCTCCTCAAAAAATCTTTTTAAATAAATGAAGCAAACAATGGTAACACAGCTATTTAATAAGCACTCATAAAAGGTGACTGGAAGTTTGGCATGAGACTGACCACCCCCTTCCATAGAAAACATGGTAATTTCAGGTCTATACAGAGGGCATAGATTAAGGGCATATTCTCCAAAATGGAACACAGACAAAGAAGAAGAAGCTGCAGGATATAGCAAAGGGCATAGACTATAATATAACTACGCCAGGCAAAGAAATCAGCAGCAATATGCTTCAAAGTTTTAAAAACAATATCAGGAGTTGAAATTATTTATGCAAAAACAAAATAAACCACACAAAAAAAAAAAAAGTAACGCTCTTCTATGACTTCTAGATCCTCACGATTTATATTTGAAAAACATTTTCAACACCACAAGGCTACACACATATACGGAACAGTTCCGGTCAAAATAGACACTAGGCACGGCCGTTGTTTTGAGCCGTAACTAATTCTTTGCTTCTACCAGACGGTGGCCGTTATTTTTGCTCTATTTGTAGACTGAAAGGATATAGTTTCATCTCCCAGCTTCTGAGTTGAGTGCATGGCATGAGACTGTGAGCTGCAGATTTCATTTGCAATGTTTTTAGACTGTGACCAACGTGGTAGTGTGACGTGTGCGATGCCTGTTGTTGCAATATTGGTGGTGCCATTATATGGTTAAAATTGATCGCATGTGCAACTACTGATTTGTTGGTGACTTCTGCTACCATCTATGATGAACTGCATTTCTAATGTCGGACGGTTTGTGTTAGCACTTTGGATGGCTACCATATGCTTTTAATGCGTGTGTATGCTAGATATGCTGAGACAGCAGTGTGTCAATCTTTCCACAAAGGACTGTGATTAACAATCTGTGTGTTTTTCATTGGCACAGGAGTGAAGCAACAGTGGGGTGACCCGTTTGCTATGAAGCTGAAACTAAGATTACCAGATTACACATTTACAACATATGCTCTTGCTGCTACCTGATAACAGAATCAACAAGACACTCTTCTGATGGTTCCAGCTTATAGCCGCCTGATGACAGCATCTTCATCGTGAGGTTGACGTCAACAGTCTTGGCCTGGCTAATGGAATATTTCATGATGGCGGCAGGAATTGTTGGGGTCTCTCCTTCAGCATCGTCTGCTAGAAGATGACCTGGGCAGTTTTAAAATGGAAATATTTTAATACTGAAATCCAAATGGGATGAGAGAAAGTGTTCAGTGAAACTACAATTAAACTGTTGTAAACTTAAAATAAACCTTGCACACAAATATTTCTCCTTCTCCCTGCACACCTAAACCTACAAACGCTAACATAAATATGTTAAAAGAAAGCGGCAATCTTCTTCATTCTTCTGTCGATGTAGCGGCACTGTGACTGCTTAGAGTGTCACAAGTCTCATTAACCAACACAGAACAGGCGTCATCAGTCATTTTACACTTGTGGAGCTTTTGAGGAGGGGATCGGAGCACCTATGGATCTGTCCTGAGTGCTGTGATGATAATCCTTTCTAATCACTAATCACCGCTGCAATATTTATGCCTTTTGTTCATCACACCTGACTTTTTCAGGAATTTGTCATCTGGGTAGCCTCACCGTAAAAACTTGGAAATGTTGTTGTCCCCCACAGATTTTGCCTCACAATTCCCCTCCTATAATCAGTAACATTCTAAAGCCTTTTTTTTTCCCTCTGACTTTCTTCCTTAGTTAAATTTCAACTTGATATTAGTTCAACCAGCTTTATATGTATTTTTTTTATATCAACAAACAAACTTTATTTTGAGAGGGCTAAGAACAGGGCATGAAGACATGTCTTACATTCTGCCCTTCAGGCCTCCCTCCTCCCATACACAATTCCATTCATTAAACAGATAATAATAAACATCATCTTCTAATTAACAACTGCCAGTATTTACAATTTTTGCAGTGTAAGCAATTGGGGGGGGGGGGGGGGGGGGGGGGGGGGGGGGGGGGGGTGGGGGGGGGGGAGGGGGGGGGGGGGGGGGGGGGGGGGGGGGGGGGGGGGGGGGGGGGGGGGGGGGGGGGGGGGGTCAAGCCTGAGGATTTAGTGCAGCATGGCCATCGCCACAGGCTTTGCAAGTTAGGATTTTATTTGTGCCCCTGTCAGACGAACATCGCTGACCTTATCGAGGATTGGAACCTGGCTCTGCCAATAAACATCATTAACAAAATCTAAGTCTTGGTTACAAAATGCTGAAATGTCTACTTACACCTACATTTCTAAGCATTAATAACACTAAGTATAGTAAGTGAAATAAATCTAGAAGAAATATACAATATGCTTAAAACATTACTTTTTAAGAAAAGACATAAAATCGAAAGAAAAGTATATTAGCAAGCTTCACAATATAACAAATACAAACAAAACGTGAACGTTGCAGCTATTGAGCCTTCATCAGCACATACAAATTAAACAATACTACACAGATACACAAAATCACTTAGCTGGTATCTTGAAGCAGCTGGGTCGGTTGTTTCTCAGCAGAATGACCACACGTCTGACTGACTGACTTTCTACCCCACTAGGACATCACACAAGCGATAAACACCCGATGACACAAAGTGCCACCATGTGGATGAGGATCGCTGTGGAGAGGTCCCAGAAACCCCGTTCAGACAATTGGCCATATTTATGGCCTGCCTATATTGCGGCCCCTGGCAAAAGCCAGGGTGGGGCTTCAAACAACAAAAAATTTCGTCCTAAAAAGGACAAAACTGGTTCATATATATATGACCACACATGTCGGCTGGGGAAATAATACACCCTGTGGAGTACCAGGGGCCATAACTAGGGTGTTAGGGATAAAACTGTGAGGACAGTTTAATCCCCTGGGAGTTTAAATGAAACTGTGTTGGCAATTCAGTCCGGAGGGTGTTAAAGTCCCCAGAGTATAAATAAAGCGATTCTCAAGAGACTTCCGGACTCTGTCGCTGGAATGGCTGAATTTAATGGCTGTCACCTCCATGTCGAGGACACCTTGGTGATCATGGGAATTGAAGTGCAACAGTACTGGTTTCAGATCACCATTTTGCACATCCAAAAGATGTTGTCTGAACATGTCAGCCAGCCGTAGACCTGTTTCACCAGTGTATTTCATGCCACATCTCTTGCAGTTGATGGCATAAATGACACTGCGGCTGGTACAATAGACTGCATCACGAATGTGGAAGGTGGCGTTAGGGAATTCTAGACTAGCCACCTGGACCACATATGGACAGGTTCTGCATACAGGTCTATGGCAAGAGACTGTGCCGAAGTGGGGCTCAGACGCGGGGCGTAATCTTTTAAGAGGGCATGCAAGCTAAATATTAATACCCTAGTTGGGCTTGCAACTACATATGTTAGTTTAGTTTAGTTAATCGACAGATTATCCCCACTGCACATCAGACAAGTCCATAAGCGTTCGGATCCCATCTTCAGTATATCCCTCAGCGCGTGACAAATGATAACACCAAACTTCATTTGTACAACACTTCAAATAGTCTAACCTACTTAAAACTCCTGAGGTCTTACCTGTAACTAGAATGATCCAGTGTAAATCTTCATGTAAACCATGAAGTGTACTGATGTTAACTGTAGACTCATGGTTACTGGCCAGATCTCTCTGATGCTGTAGTCCATGCAGCTGATTACTGATGAGGGATATACGGTCTTCTAGGACTCTGCCACAGCAACAAGGAATATATAATAATCTTAGGGTACAGAAATATTGCCATAAAAAATAATTTCATACTTAGAAGATCTAGCTCCTCAGTGTGGGTTCCATGACCCACTGTGGGGTGGGGTGGGGGACAGACCCACAGCCTTCCTAACAAACATGTCGCAGGAGTCGACTAATTAGGAGTTATTTTCACAGACAGGGTGCATCTACATGAGAGGCAAGGAACCAACTGTCTGGAGACAAATAAGCCAGATCTGTAAAAATGGATGTGCATGCAAAACTCATGTTCTGGAACAAGACTAAAGTAGGAAAGTGGACAAACAACCATAACTTTTCGCTGGAGTTTACAGCTGGTGAATGCAAAGAAGAAAAAGAACGAATGAATTAAGTTTATTTTCAAAGAGTCACAAATCAGACATGCAGGCCCATCTTACATTCAGCCCTTCCAAATACCCTCTTTCACACAGCAGTTATATTTTATCAATAAAGTATGTTATTTTCATACAATTATTCATATTAGAGAAAACGTAGCCATTTTAGTTATTTTAATGTGAAATAAACTTATGCTCCTCAGTTTATCTGTTTCTTCCCCCCCCCCCCCCCCCATTTCTGGCTGCACTTACATGCTCATAAGGATGGACGCACACATGATACATGCATGTTCATACACACACACACACAGAATCAGGGTAACAAACATACTTAGACAATAAGGGCACAGAGTGTTCTGGAATAATTCGACCCAATGTCCCAATGCAGCTCAGCTGATCTGAAAACTTGTATCTGTCATCTTCTTCTGTTTCGTCAATGTCTTCAGAATCATCTACATTCTGGGGAGAAAGGGGAAAAAACCAAAGTATTATACATGGTGTTTTTAAAATTTCACTGTAATTAATATACAGAACAAATCTGAATTTTTAAAAAAAACGAAGTACATGATGTCATTTTAAAAAATGTGTTATAAAAGGTCATTAGTTAAAACAGTCACTGCTATGGTCTAATGCAGTTTTGGTGAATGCTGGAAAGCTAAAAGTTAGTTAGTTGCGTATCTTTTACAGGACATTGCAGAACCAACTCCAGCATTTTTTGGCTGTTGTCGTTTTTCTAGGCAATTTTTATGTCCAATAGTTTGCCATTTCTTTATGGACGATCAGTTTCTCGATACCACTGCAGAAACCATCGCAAGGCACACAGCTGGGATCGACCCTGGCATTACAAAGTAATGGAAGCTAGAAAGTGAAAATAAAAAATTTATCAAATTTCTAACTAAAATAAGATGAGGAGACTGTTTATCAGGAAATCTTACTATAAATTTATGAACAGCCATCCGTGTGTAGTGACTGCCTTTTAGAAACATTTGTTCAAACGAAGAAAACATTCTTTTTTTCTGTTGATAACACCATACTGTTTTGCATGCACACAAAATTACTCCAGCAGATTACAGCCATTCACTGCAAACTGCTTCACAACTGTCTGTGGACCACATTTTTCGATGACGTCATTTATTTTGTTTCATAGATTTGATCTATAAAACATGGTGAGACTTTACAAACACCCTAAATTTAAAAAAAAAATAATAATAATAATAATTAAGCAAGTAAACAAACCCTTTTCACCTCTTAAGCACATTAGGCTCACCGTGCTAGATCTATATTTTTTATAGACCAACCAGTACTCAAAACATCAAGTTGGCTCTCTCTCTTTTTTTTTTTTTTAAATAAACCATCCAAAGTGAACATCAAGCCCTACTACTCGAGAAGCATGAAACTGTTAAACATCTTTACTTCTTCTTCTTTCCTCTACTCCTGGAGTGCTCGCAGCGTCGGGGGAGGAAGAGATCTCTGGATCTGGTCCTTCCGTTTGATTTCTTTATAGTACTTTTCAGTCAATATGATATTTTTTAAAGTTCAATTTTTACATGGTCAACCTCTGGCTCTGTTACCAAAGTATCTGTATAGTTTAACACTGCTCTCTCTAGTACTCTGTCTGATGCCAATCTTGTTAGATGGCTAAACTATCTGATCTGTCATCTATCGATAAAGTTCAACATTGGTTCTGTGCTGACTCTTCTCCTGATATCATTGTTCCTAAGTTGATCGTTGTTACACCTACCATAGAACGTAAACTATTCATTTCTGTAGTGATTACTTTCCTACTGTCTTCTGAAGACAGCGTCCATGTTTCACACTGATAGCGCTCATAAGACTACTGTGCTGAAGTACTGATGTCCACTTGGGACGGTTAGTTGAAAAAAAAAAAAACACACACACACAATTATTTTTAGTGTTTCATTTAAGCTCTAAAATAAATGTGCTACTCACCAAACTACGTATGCCATCAGGTGCTGTTAGGTGACACTGCATGTAAGAATTAAAAATCTCTGAGGCGGGGTTGTTGAGAGTTCCTGGAGGAAGGGAGCTGATGTCCTTTGTAAAACATGTCCATGACTCCAGAAGCTTTTCATATGACTCCATAAAGACTGTGTCATCTTTGTGCATCTGAAAGAAGGAAGGAAGTGAAAGTCACATAAATATGTGCACCCAACACCTAAAAAAAAGGTAAAAGGTAAAGTCGGGATATTTGAACCAGTGTCACTGCACACGGTTATAAACCATAAGAGGGTTATAAACTGGCTGATAAGAAACTGTCCGCCAGTGTCGCCGTCTGCACGTAACTCCGTAGCTACAGCGACATTCCTCCATTTACCCCAGAGTGTTAACTCTGGTACCCATTACCTAGCGACTGGGTGAACCCAGGAACCGTGCGGTTTTGAATACTGGCTGTGAGCTGCAGCGAGCCGATGCTGGATTTGAAAGTGAGTCTCCTATTGACTGCGCTAACGTGGCCCAACACCTTTAACTGCATATTCAACTGTTCTCAATTGGCAAATATGTTGTTAATAGGGATGCATCATCAACTGCATTTTATTAAATAAACGGAACACCAAAAAGTCTGCAGACAGAGAAGATACACAGGGACATTAAGAGCTGGGGACCTAGAGAGTCCAAAGGGAGTCTAGTTTACTTAGGAGTAGCTGCAGAGAGGGTCCAGAGGGAGTCTAGCTCACTCCAGAGTAACCGAAGAGACCCATAGAAAGATTGGGAGATATCAGAACTGGATTTACCAAACTCTAAAGTGTAACTTTGAGCGAGGAGAGGAGTGGGTCAAGGTGTCTGAACAAGCTTCAGTTTTGTTAAGAGTTCTAATCATGTTAGGTCATGAGTGCAAAGACTGGCCAGCTGGTGCTGCAGAATCAGAAGTTAACAAATGATTCATGAAAATTCCCACCCAGGTGATGTGATTATCTACAGTCTAAGGAGAATGGCCCCGTGAGGAGTACCAGGGGATCTGGCCAACGCTCAACACTCAGGGGAAGGATGAGACGGATATACAATCAGACGGTTACTGGTACTATTGGAACTGGTATTCTTCGCATGCTGCTGAAGATGGGGACTAAGCACTTATGGAAGTGTCCTGAGTGCTGTGATGATTCCAAATTCAACATTCAGGCTGCTTGAAACAGCCATTAAATACATTTCTACTTGCATTTAATCAATCTTAAAAGGAAACTAATGTTTTTTTTCCTTCTTTTAATGAAATGTGTGTGCAACTTATGTCCAAAGAAAGTATAGAAAAATAAGGAGTACAGCAAAAGAAGAAAACTAATTTTATCTGGTATACTACATCAAAAGATATTACTAATGTGTAAAGGGAGGGAGCGGGGGGGGGGGGTTTACAACTGGAGAAAGATAAGAAATGATAATGATTCTCAACTTAGAATGTCTTAGTACAATAACCACCCTTGAAAAACCCAGATTTTAGAAATTATAATGGGCCCTTGTTTTAGAATGCAAGAGAAAAACCATTATTAGTTGGAAAAAAAAAAAATTACTGCTACAAAGTGTACCCAACCTTTCTTCACTGGCAAGTATGTATATCTAACAGCCCTTAACTCACAAAAATGAGTATCCAAATGTTGTTCATTGGCAAGTTACCTATTGCGTGTTATCCATAGCAACATCCTAACATACCAGTGGACCCACTGTTGCTCCATCCTCTGAGGTAGCAGTCAGCATAGTGCCTTCAGACTCACTGCACCCCACAGGTGTACCAGCTGGCTAGTATGAACACCCAACAGCCCCTAACTGACAAATTAACTCTTTAAGTGGGTTAGATAGATACATCTGCATGGCCAGTTGCCACCTCAGTGGGTAACAAGGATATATTCACCCACCATTTTCTACAGCCAACATCTGGTGTGTATGAGAAGCAGCATAGTGATTAGAAAGGATTATCATCACAGCACTCCCGACAGATTTCCTCCGATTTCCTCCTCAAAAGCTCCACAAGTGTAAAACAACTGATGATGCCTGTTCTGTGTTGGTTAATGCAACGTCTTGTCCCCTTAGTGAAATGTTCTATTCTTGCAGCTCCAGGCTGCACCCTCATGTCCATCAGTCTAGACAGGGATACGGCATGCAGTAAGGTATCTCTTCGCCTCTCCACTTGGCAGATGCACTCTTCAGTTGCTATTTGTGGACCCAGTCTTTGGTTTGTCTACTGCATGCAGTTTACCATAACACAGAACCAAACTAACCCATTTATAACCCGTAAGCAACAGGTCTAATTTCATTTTAAAAGTTAAAAAAAAAAACACACACACAAAATATATAAATACTAACTGATTCTTCTTGAGCTGCCAGCCTGCCCACTGTACATGTGAGAGATGTGAATGTCTGGATAAATGACTTAAACAAAAAGGTATCAATGCTAATGAAGGTCTGTATAGTAAACATAAGTAGCAGGTTTTTGAAAATGGAAGCCACGCCAAAGTTTTCATGCTCTTGCAGTTCAATGCTGGGGGGGAAAAAAAAAACAAGTTAACAACATGGCATATGACTTTTGCACAAATCATTCAATTATTGACTCAATAATATTTTCACGCTGAACAAGACAAAGATATTGAGATAAATTTACAATTTCAACTGCATATATAATTTTACATTACAAACTGCTTTCAAATGTCAAACTTCGCTAATACATTGTAAACAGAAAATGCATGCTCATGCACGTGAGAGAGAAGAGAGAAGGAGACAGAGAGAGTGTGCGGTGTGCGTGTGTTTTTGCTGTGGTAGTAGTTGTAGCAGTAGTAGAAGCAGTATAAAAGTAAAGGACCCTTGTCCCGCTTCAGGTGCATCTGGCTTATAGTGCTAGCCCGATATTTTTATAGGCCAATCAGTACTTGACAGGTGATGTGGTCAACATCACACAAGCCACGTTTATCTCCCAGGACTTTACAGGTGTACCCCTTATGTTTGTTTGTTTTAGTATCCAGAAGCCATGAGTTGTTAACCCTTAGGCTCGGTATTATGGATATCGCAACCTTTCGGCCTTGATTCCATTGTAGATACCGTAAATCTGGGAGAAAAAGTGGCTTTCCTGTCCACCACCGTGATTGAACCCGGACCACAAGGAGTTCGTCAACCGGTCTCCGCGCAATCCGGTCTAGCCAACTATGCTAGAGAGCCGGGCGTGTACCCCTTATAGGTTGGACTGACCTAGGAGCCAAAGTTAATTCCGAAAAACAGACAGGCAATATTAGCAAGACTGATATAGTGTTTCTGAACATGCATTCAGTTTCTGACTCCATACTTTAGTGAAATTTTTCCTAAGATACTTTGTTTACTTACTAGATCCATGGAACTTCACTTTTTATGCAATGCTGTAGGCAAGCAACCAACTATTCTGTTTAGGAGAGACCAGGCCAGAATGGATAAATCTCAGATGACACTTTAAAAAAAAAAATCCTACACATATTTTCTTCTTCTTCTGTGTGTGCCCTTAAAAGATCAATAGGTATGCTGTGTTGGAGTTTACAGGTAGGATGTGATATTTGCACTTTTCAGCCTAACAAGTCTGTTTTCAGCAAATCCTTTAAAGTCGCCTTTTATGACATGCTTGTTAAGGGGATATGGGCCTATTCTCACCCCCCCCCCCCCAACCACCACCAAATGGGGCCTAGGAACTCACACAGGGTTTACATAAGTACATTCTAAGCCCACAAACAAATATGTGCACATATTTCATCAACAGCAAACAAACTATACTTGATGGCCATGTAGGTGTCATAAGCCCTGAAAGTTAATGTTACTGCTCTATTGTGGGGGAAACAAGAATAGACAAACTGCCTTTCCTACATGTTGTAGGAGTCAATTAATTGGGGGCTTCCATCAAAGTCAAAGTGCATCAGCCCGAGCAGCAAGGAACAACCAAGTGCATACAAATAAGCCAACAAAATGGATGTACATGCAGAACTCAGGCCCTGGCATAAAGCAAAAGTCCAAATGGATGACCAACCAAAACTTTCCACCACAGCTTACAGCCTGTGAATAAAGAAGAAGAAGAAGAATGTCACAACAATTACGTACTTGGAAAGCATGTGAAGCAGACCTTCAATGTAATGAGTTAAATACTGCGACTGATCATCTTTACTGAATATCATCCCATTTAAAGAGGCCAGCTGTACAAGGCACTGCATAGAGTGATGGGCCATGTCGCTGTTGAATCTTGCTTTCTGGTGAATCTGAAAAGCAGACGGAGAAAATGAGTTAACCGTTTATTGCTACTTACCTTTTTTAAGTTGGAATCTAATAATGCTCAAATCCTACTGACACACTTCAAGCCACTTTGTGTAAACCAAACATACTACAAACCTTTTGATATCTCCCACTTCTACAATGATCTCTGGTCATATGCATAATCCACTGTGTACCATAGACTGGGGTGTCATCTCAAGGTCTCTTAGGTTCCCCCAAAGCTTAGTTGTCAGGTCTGCTGTGATGTCACATGTTGCTCCCCAGCTCCACCAAGAAAGGAAAGTCTTGAAAGACATGTTCTGGAGTCTGTTCAGCATGAAAACACTGACAGAGAGCTGTTTGGCGCATACCTAATTTATATGAGTGTTTGGGAATGAAACTTCACGCAAATCCCAGGGGTAGCATGAGTGAGATGAAGCATTATTTCATGGCGTACACCTTATAAAACTAAAAGTGAATTCTGGTGCTGGTACTCTGAAAGTTATCCATCCCTAAAGGAACTTATTTATGTGGAGCCTGCAATCAATATAGCAGATAGGCAGGTTTACTACTTTTAGCTGTGGCAAGTTTTTTTTTTTTTTTTTTTTAATGCTTCTGACAATAGTTATCCTTAGACTCCAATGGTACTTGGAAAGTGAAAACACTTTCACGCCGCAGCAGGCAGGATTTAGACAGTGCTACTCCACAGAAGACCAGACAACTTACCTTTCACAAGAAATTGAGAATGCCTTCCAAGAAAAGAAGCTAGTGCTTCCACGGTGCATGGATAGATCTGAAGAAAGCCTTTGACAAGGTCTGGAAAGAAGGTCTACTGAAGAAACTGAGAGACTGCAGGGTGAATGGGAGTATGTACAAATGGGTGAAAGCATACTTGTATAACAGAAGATCCCGAGTACAGATAGATGGACTTAAGAGTAAGAAAGTTTTGCTGCGCCATGGCGTCCCACAAGGAGGTGTCCTGTCCTCCACACTCTTCCTAGTCTATATCAACGACCTGCTTTCTGAAATACCCCATGGAATTAAAGCTGCAATGTATGCTGATGACTTGGTACTCTGGTGTACAAATGAACATGCAACAGTGGCCACCAGACTGCTACAAAGAGCCATAGATGCAATGGCTGATTGGGCCGACAAATGGTGTGTCAGCATCAACATAGGCAAATGCAGCACCACCCTCTTTACCCTTTCTCCTAAACAAAAATCAGGCGCCATGCACATAAATGGAGTACCCCTGAGAGAGGATAAGGAGCCCACATACCTCGGCGTAACGTTTGATGATAGATTAACATGGAGAAAACACATCAACAAGGCAGCAACCAAAGCCAGAAGGAGGGTAGCCATTCTGAGAAAACTAAGTGGAACCACATGGGGTGCTAGCGGGAAAATACTTAGGAAAGTTTACCAACAAAGTGTTCGACCACATCTTGAATACGGATCACCAGCATGGGGTTCGGCATCAAAAACCACATTGCAAGAATTAGACAAAGTGCAAAATCAAGCACTCAGAGTTACCACAGGCAGTAGGAAATCAACACCTATAGTTGTGATGGAGAAAATGGGGATGACCCAAGCACTGAGTGAACGCAGAGACACCAAGATGCTTTTACAAGCAGAAAAGTTTCTTAGCATGCCCAGTCACTCTATGAATGAAAGATTCCAAAATTTAGCTTTGGGACGACTAAAGAGAAGTAGTTTTATCCACCAGGCCAAACGGACCCCCTGGAGAGAGGAGTATAAGTTTCCAATACACATCAAGACTAAAGTGAAAGGGGTATTTGACAAGGAAGAACAAAACAGTGTGCAGCGCAAAACAGCCACCCTCAGTCTACTTGATGATGAATACCCGCAGAACCTTTGGGTCCGTGTTTACACAGATGGGTCAGCAGAAAAGCGCAGTCAGAAACGGAGGTGCTGGAGTGTACATTGAGTATCCTAATAATACCAGGGATACAGCCAAATTACCAACAGGAAAGCACTGTCACAACTATGATGCAGAAGTTCAAGCCATCAAGATAGCGGTAGAGAAACTACTAAATACAGGGTATTTTTCACAACCAGTGGTATTCCTGACAGATGCAAAAGCAGTACTTCAGTCACTCCAGTCTGGAAAATTACCAAGCATACGGACACTATTATCCAAACTAGGCAACCGCTGTAAACTAGTAATGCAGTGGATACCTTCCCACTGTGAAGTTCCCAGAAACGAAAGAGCTGATAAACTAGCTAAGGAAGGTGCAACTGAAGAACAACCTGACACACCAGTCTCTAATCAACAGAAGAAGAGAATGATCAAATCAATCAGAATGCCACCGAAACTGGCACAAGATGATTACCATATTACGGACAGACCAGAGCAAGTCATTATCCTTCGCCTTAGAACAGGGCACAATCGACTTCGCTGCCACATGTACAACAAGTTTAAGATTGGCCAATCAGCCATATGTACTTGTGGACTGGCACCTGAAACAACAGATCACATCCTTCAAGACTGTCCCAGATTCAACGCTTTCATCCAAAACCTTTGGCCAAAAGAGACACTCGTGGAAGTCAAACTTTACGGGCCGCTTAGTGAATTACAAAAGATGGTAAAATTCATACTAGAGACAGCTTTGCAGATATAGATAATTTATTTCATGCGAACGAAAGAAGAAGAAGAAGAATAGTTATCCATTGCATTTTCTCTATATATAGAATGAAAGGTAATAATAGTTTCATTACCTAGCTACATAGTTGAGTGCATGGAGTGACATTGTGAGCTGCGGAGTCCACTTGGAATGCTTTCTGACTGCCTAACGTGGTAGAGTTGTGAACTCCAGATTCAGTAAAGGGCGAGTGGCCTGTTGTCAGAGAACTGGTGGTGCTGTGTGTCCAAGTACTAATCGGTGCTTTCATTTTTATTTGTCCTAAACAGACAGTCTAATATTTCTGGGGGTGGAAAATAGGCTGCATACAGTCGTGGGATCTAGGCTGCACTCTCATGTAGGACAAGGGTGGGTTGGAGTTAGGTCCAGTTCTAGGTGTATTGGTGTAGTTAAAAAGCACCACAAAGCTAAGAAAATGGTCTTACCACCCTATAAAATATTGGACTGTCCCAGTGATGTCATCTAGGGTGACTTATTATGAAAGAACCTACTAATCTGTTATTAATGTTACTTCCAACTATGACAAACTGCATTTTTAGTGTCGAACTGTTTGTGCTGGCATTTCTGATGGCTGCCTTATGCATTTAATGCATGCATATGCTACCGAATTTGCCAAGACTGCAGTCCGTAAATTGTTCAACAAGGGACAGTGACAGACGTACTTTGTGGGTTTTTTTGGGGTGACCCATCTGCTATAACATACTGGGAGGATTGGCACAAATAGTAGAAATACCAAAGATGATCAGGTCAACCAACCTGAGATACAATAAGTAAAAGTGAAAATATGGTTTCGATAGAGTAGGTAGTTATGGCTTTTCCCCATCTGTGATTTTTTTTTTAAACTAACTGCCTCGCCTAACAAAGATGTTGCAAAAGGTGACTAATTAGGGGTGTTGGTTTCCAAGTCAGAGTGCATCCACCTGAGGCCAGGAACTAGAAGTGTGCGTAAAAATAAGCTAGATCTGTAACATGGATGCACACTATAAACTCAAGTGCTGGAACAAGATCAAAGTCCAGAAGTGGATGAACAACCAAAACTTTCTGCTAGTTTAAAGCCAGTGAACACTCAGAAGTTATGTATTATGAGTTTAACTGTTCTTCCACATGCAAAAATGGGTGCCGTCCTGTCACTTACTTGAATATTTTCTTCTTCTGTGTTCACCTTAAAAAGGGGTGGTTGTCACACTGTACTGTGGTTTACAGCTAGGTTGTGATATCTGTACCTTTTTGTCCAACACATCCGATTCTAGCAAACCCTTAATAAGTCATCTTTTATGTTAAGTCTGTTAAGAGGACAGTGGGGACCCCCAAACAACCCCCCCCCCCCCAAAAAAAAATGGGTCCCATAACTCACATAAAGAAATGTATTTGAAATTGAGGAGGAAAAATTGTGATGAAATGTGTACAGTGACCTGAAGTGTACGGTGACCTAATGTGTACCATATCTATCAATAACACAGTTTGCTTCACAAAATTACCAACATTACCTAGTTCTGCATTCAATTCCTCTAATGGTTATAATACATACCCTGAAAAACAATGACAATGTGTTCTTATCTAGCAAGACATCTCTCCAACTCTCTGGTGGTTTCAATGTGGCATTGGGGTTTTCATTAAAGGCATGAGTATGCATTCTCACTGAAACAAACCAACAATATATCATTTGTAAACTTAATGAAAACTGAAATCCTTCTCATGCACACACATGCGCGTATGCTTGTACACACCCATATACACACTAGATTTAATTAGCCGCTTTGCCAGGATTAGTTCTTGAAAATGTTATTTTCACATCTTCTGCTGCTTCTTTGTTTCCCATGTTTATTCACTGCCCCTAACTGCATCTGAGCTGCACATGTTTCTTATTAGATTAAGTATTCTATATTTCTCCTCACAAATAGGTAGGTAACACTATGTCTATCTGCAGCAAAACTGCATTTCTGGCATTTGTGCCCTCCAGCTAGAGCATTCAATTTCAGTGTGATGCTTTTTTTCTTTCCAGCACTGAGAAGAAGCAAAACATCTGTCTTTTTTTCATCTTCTGTTGATGCATTTAGAGTCCCATTAGAATTAATTCTTGATATGCCTCTTTGCAGGAAATATTTAAAAAAAAACTAAATGACAGTTTTTAACTCTCTCAGTCCCAGGGGGTCTAGCATCACAGTCCCAAGGGGTGGTAAACAGAGATGGCAAATCAAAATCAGTACATCCTGCGTCATTGGGCTTCTGGGTAGGAACCTATGAAGTAGATGCGTTCATTGGGACTGACAGAGTTAAAGAGAAAGAATCCACTTCAATGCATTGTGCTTTATCTTATATGATTCACCACAGTGAGACTGTTCCCTAAATAAAAGCATCACACAAAAGAATGAAACTGTAATTCAAGAGACAACCAACCAAAAGACATACACCAGAAAACTAAAGCTTGAGATCATCTCTTTTTCTGCATCCCGCCCTTAACTCTTTTAGTCCATAGCGGTTGTTACGTTAACAACTTTCTATTCCAAGAAGCTGAGCTCGAAGCAATAGATATTTAGGTCTGAAAGGTGTTAATCAGAGACACTCTGGGACAGATTCAGTGAAACTAATAATTCAGATGCACTGGGTTAATATAATTTGCGTCTGTAATAGATGACAATAACATTTTATTACCTTTGGAATAACGAAGATACTCAAGGTGAGTTGCCTGGTACTGAAGGAGTTAAAACGTCAGCTGGCATATTGTGGTTTACAACTAGACTATGATATCAGTGTCTTATGACAGAAATAAACCTATGATCTTACAGAGGATTCAAACCTGGGTCTCCTGCATAAGAGCTCAGCATTATGAACCGTCTGGCCGACTGCTCCATTCTAAGTCACTTTCAGTAGGCAATCCTCAAGGGGAAAAAAATTAACAAAGAATATTTTTTTAAACTTCTGACAAACCTCCCCGGAGTGTGAACTCCCAGCTGAGAACCTGTTCAGCAATACACAAGATGCGGTTCAAGAAAGCTGTGGCCTCCCGGCTCAAAGGACTAGGCTGTGTTTCAATCTCACTGAGCACTTGCAGTGAAAACATAAACACCCGTTTCAAGTCCGACTGCTGCAAATTAAACATAGGAATAGGAAGCCAAGATTATTTTTTTTTTCATTAATATTTCACTCACTGCTAAAACATTGAAAGATCAATTAACTTCATGTAAACCAAGTTGTTCTTTATTTAGAAGACATAAGTCTTGTTCCAGAACTTGAGGTTTGGCGTGCACTTCTGCTTTATAAATTTGGTTTGGGTTATTTGTAAGCAGACAGTTGATAGCTCGCCTTTTAGGCTGATGCACACTAACTTTAAAAGAAACACCCCTAATTAGCCAACTCCTAAAACATGCTTGTTGGGGGGGGGGGGTGTAGAGTCTATTCTCCCCCAGCCCCCCAAAATAGGGGCCCTGGAACTCATACAAGAAAAGCCCTATGTTCAGATCTCTATTTATTTCCCTTTAATGAATCATAATGTAACTGACTGCTAGACTATTGGTCATTGGGGCATGTATACAGCAACTGAGAATGTATATCGTCTTCTCTGTTCACTGGCTGTCAGCTCCAGCAGACAGTCTTGGTTGTTCATCCATTCGGACTTTGGCTTTGTACCAGGGCCTGAGTTTTGCATGTACATCCATTTTACTGGCTTATTTGTGTACAGCTGGCTGTTTCTTGCTGCTCAGGCAGATGCATTCTGTCTTCAAAGAAAGCCCCCAATTAGTCGACTCCTACGTCATCCTTGATGGGTAGGCAGTGGGTCTATTGTTCTTCTGCCCACAATGGGCAAGAATTTAATGTACTATCTACAAATGGGTGAATACAACATTTATGATAAATGACAGTAATTACTTGGCACAATATCATTTGGGGACCAGCAGTTAATGAGGAAACTTAACATTGTCAAAGATCAATCTGAAAGAAGGCCTTAGGGTCATATCCGCATTGAGTCTGGGTTTTTTCCAAACTGACCTTGGCTCCCAGGTCTGGCATCTACAAACAGATACTAGGTAATGCCTAGGATGTAAAGGCAGCTGGCACATGATGTTGACCACATCACCCAATGAGTGACGACTGGACTATAAAATTAAGAGTCTGGAATCATGCCGGATGTGCTACTGACATAACAACAAAAAAAAAGCTTTTTTACTGAATGTAACTGAAGAAATAAACACAGGAAATAACTCTAAAGAACAAAGACATAAACAGACTGAAGTTCTACAGTGATTTCTGAAAGACAAAAGTATCATGAATGTCATAATGACAATTGAGTCATATTAATTCATATCAGTAGCATTAAGAACAAAATAATACTAACAAAAAAGAAGAAGAAAAAACACACACACAAAAAACAATACTAACTTCGAATGCCCGTTTGCACTTGATGTGAAATTCCCAAGTTAAGCCAACACTGCTAGTACGACTGGTGTATGAGTATTCATTCAATAATGAGGTTAACATGGAGCAAGCCACAAGTTGCTGTGGAAATTTAAAGAAATAGTGGATAGAAGGTTTTATATTTTATCGTTAGCAAAAACAAATGAAAAGACCTTTCTGAGCACTAAAATGTTTTTCAACTGAAATGTTGAGAATGTATCTTAAATCTGTCTTAAATATTTAAACAGCAGTATATTAAACCAGGGTCTGTGGCTACGGCGTAGAGAATCTGCTTTGCAATGCCAAGACCCACTGTTCGATTCCCGCTGAGGGCAATTTGGCAGCAGGCTATCTCAATTTGTTTTTGACAGAGGAATTAAGTCAACCTTCAGAAAGCAATGGCAAAACAGCCAACAATTGTGGGGTTTTTATTAACTTCTTGTCAAGGATACACAGCAAACTTTCATTTTAAACCAATGAAATATTTTCTTAAACATCCAAATGATTTCATTATCATGAATATGGTTCTCCTAAACAGTTTTTTGGGGTCCTAGTTGGGCACTCTCTGCCTGCTCCTCATCCATTTCTGGATTATTCCCTCCCACTTATGTCGCTGACTAGCTCATCTATGCTTGTCTTCAACTTTTAACTCCAGTGTGGTTTAATTTTTTTAAGAGTGTTATGTTTATTAGTGTGGCTCTCATGCCAGAACAGTGGATGAGCTGTCCAGACCTATTCACTACAGTTCTGGATGTCACGGAAATAATCTTCAAAATAGATATATCTATATATGACCACATCGCCCAATGAGTGATGACTAGACTATAAAATTATGAGTCTGGAATCATATGCCCGATGTGCCATTGGCATAAGACAAAAAAGGTTTTTTACTGAACGTAACTGGAAAAATAAACACAGGAAATAACTGTAAAGAATAAACACATAAACAGACAAAGTTGTACAGTGATTTCTGACACCAAAAAAGTGTCATGAATGTTATGATGACGAATGAGCCATAATAATTCATATCAGTAGTATTAAGAAACAAATTAAAAACTAATCAAATAATATATATATACATATATAAAGAGTGGGTAGTTTTATTGCAAAGATGAATAGACGGTGTTTCTTCTTTTCATTCATCCAAGTGAGGTAAATGTGTTGTGCCTGTTTACACACGGCAGAGCTGAGATATTTGCGCCTTTCGGCTGACACATTTAACTTTATCAAGCATTTGTTTACCAGGTTAACTTTCTGGATACTTTCGTGGGACAGGGACACGCTGTGGCCTTTTTTTGTGCGGTGTTCTCTTTGTCCCCTTTCTCTGCCCCTGGAAACTCTGTCCAGGGCTTCGGCGTGAAGACAAGTTGGCTCTCAAGAGAAGGCAGGGGGCAAATCTCTTCTCAAATCCATATATTGAGCTTTCCAATCATCAGGGGCTGCACCCACAGCAGATCAGCTGATCAGGTCTGGGACCTCAGTGGCCACACAAATAGGTAAATTGTGCGTCGGATATAAGTTACCTTTAACGTTTTATTTGAAAACTTAGCAAGACAGCATGGCAAAAGCATGCATCTAGCATGGCTTCCCCTTTTAGATTCTGCATTTTAGCGAGTGGGGCCAATGGTAACGAGCAAGTGAGCTTTTCTGCCAATCAGCAGGACTTTTTTGGGTTGGACATTCAGAAATTTGTATTTGTGCCATAGGATGTATCAGATGGACGCCATGGTGTACCCTACTGCCGTGACGATGACACTGAGGAACAGCAAGAAATGTTCCGAGAAAGGATTGTTCCGTGAGTTACCACCAGCAAGAGATATTGCTTATCTAGGCTGAAAGCAAATCTAATGATTCTTGGCTGAATCTCAGCAGAACAGTAGTTCTTCCGACTCGTCAGACATTTTAACTGAGGGTTGTCATTTACTGGTATTTTTGACTAGAGGACTTTACCCATGTTCCATGTAGGCTTTGATAGACCTCACCCATGCATTCGGGGTGGGCTGATGTGAGCCAGGCTGGACACTACATCTCTAGAGACCACCAACTCTGAGATCCCCTGCCACTTCGGTGTAGGTCACAAAGGTGAAGTACAGCAGGAATCTCGCGTGAGGATCCATAAGACCATCCAGGAGCTGGTTGGCACTGGGGTGAGTTATGGAGTAACTCCTTATAAACATTACAACAGCCTTAACTTTCTCTCATGCCTGTGATCGATATCAATGTGCCACATACATAGTGTTTGAAAACAGAGTCTAGCATATAATGTTAGAGCATCCAGCATGAGAAAGGAAGTGGAGGCTGTGATGACAGCTTTATGTCGACATAAAAGCAGATCAGCCCAAATGTAACTATAACAGACTCACTAAGCATACTTCAAAAAAAATTTTTAAAAAGTTTTGTATGCATAGAGTGGCTTGCATCAACTGATACGACTCGTAATGAGACCTTATCATGGATTATTTGTCCAGAACCTTCGGGTATGTGGGATAATGAACAAGCTGATAGACTGGCTGCTGCCATTTCTTTGGGTGCACAGCTACTTTATGATAAAGCGGATGTGGTTTAGACTCGCTGGGCTGCGATATTTGTGCATTTCAGCCGAACACATCAAATTTTCAGCAAATTCCTAATCAGTTATCTTTTACGATATGCTTTTGGGGAAAAGTGGGTTATTCTCACCATTCTCCCCAACCCCCTATAGTCTGTCAATGGGTCCAAAACACATTGCTTACCATTGTGATGTTTCCACTGCTGATCAGAGTTGAGACATCTTCAAATAATCTATCACAGCTTTTTCCTTTCTTGTCTAATGTCGCCCGTTTCAAAATGACAGCGACAGTTTGCAAAATCTGTTCTCTGACAAAACTCTAGAAACAACAAAGTTTAAAATTATACAACTATTTTCCTTGAACTTTGTTTAATTTATACAAGCGCAAACATGTTTTTATACCCAAAAGAAATGTTTTTCACAACATTATCTACATTCTTTGGTCATGCCATCCATGAGAAGGAGAAAACTGGAGTTCATCATGGCAGTGAGAAAGGTGGGGTGAAGAGAGGCAGAGGGAGACCGACGGCACTTTGACATCATGGCATGGAAGATCATCTGTGTCACAAGAGAGAAGGTTGTGGATTAACATGTCTACCTACGCCTCACAGCAGGGACTTTCAAATGAAGAAGAAGATACAACATTACTCCATAAACACATTCACATCTGTCAGCACTAGAAACAACACAAAAAATGCTCCTTGTTGGGAAATGCTATCTCACTGTACTATCGCAGCCCATAATGAAACCAACAATAGTAACTGGAACCTGCAATTTCTGTAATAAGAGATTACTAAGGAAGGTTGACATGTGTCTGTTACCGCAGCCCTCAAGGGAAGCAAAGAACAGTAACACTACATCCTACCAGCACTGTTGAAACATGTGACTAAGGGGACAGTTCGGCTACAATGTCTTTGCATTGGAACTCAGAGAATTAAAAGCAGACCCCCCCCCAAAAAAACTTGGAAAAGGGGACCTAGAATAGTGAAATTAAAAAGAGAGGGAAGACACGGGGTGAGATTCGGGCAACAGCAAAGGATAGGATGACTTGGCGAGAGTTAGTTGAGGGCCTATGCTCCGTCTCAGAATAAGGAAAAAAATGAGGGTTGACGTGAGGCCGGCTGTCGACATCTAAGTGTTTAAGCCATTTGCATAGTGCTCTGAAGGTCATGGGTACATTCACAAACTGCCATATTCTATTCAGAAGTGCATTTTTTATGGAGATTTCTTGGGATCATTGTTGGAGAAACGTAGTTCACGCTTTGTGCGATGTTCTCAGCAGGCAACCTACCACACTGCAGAGGCTGAGCCATAGGAGATATAACCTGATTCAAAAAAGATGTTTTTCTAGACTTTAAAAAATTAAACCCCATCCTACACACACAAAAATGTCAGCTGCAAAATTCAACTAATCATGACCATGTCGACAAAAGACTTGTCATGAATCGGGTGAGGGCCTGCTCTTCAGTGAGATATGAATAGCAGAAGAAGCAACAAAACAATATTCTTCTAGCTATAACATATCAATAGTTTAGAAAGTGAAAGCCTTTAAACAACAGTGGTACACTAGAAATATCTCTCCTCCTTAGCATACATTGGCTGTACATTCCGGCAGAAAATACTAGTCGTTTGTCCACTTCTGAACTTCAACTTGACTTAGAACTTGAAGTTTTGCCTACATATCCATTTTACAGATACAGCTTATTTGCATGCAGACTGTTGATCCCCTGCACTCCAGTTCTGAAGGAAACTATCTAAAATTAGTAGCCCCCTATGCCATGCTTGCTGGAGGGCAGTGGGTCTAGCTCCAGAACCAACACAGCAAACATGGAAATTATTATAATGTCACCGAGGAGAATCTCTAATGTTTATTCTTCCAAAGATATACCTGCAGTGTGATGTGGTTTGTGATGTAACGCAGCAGAAATGAACGAAGTGCTTCTACGGAGTCAGAACTCATCAACGACCAGTCGCGGATTATGGCTTCTTTAATGGTGGTTGCTGCTTGGAAGAGACTGTAGTCATTCTTGCTATTCTCTGTACAAATTTCAGACAAGTAAAAATGATATTATAACATGTATAAACCATATTTTAATCAAAATAACAGATCTGTGTTAAAATGTAACTTAATATAAATATAACTATTGCAATTTTTTTTTAAATTATGAGGCGGCTTCAGGTGAAAACCTTAAAAGTGTGATGGAAATTAAAATAACCAGGTCATGTGACCTAGATGAGATCAGTCAAGTTAAGAATTGACGGATATACCAGTAGACATGGGTGACCTATCTAATGTTTTCATCACATGGGGAGGTACTACAGGTCATCATCTACATAAATGGGTCTGTGAAGGTCAGCATGGGCACACAGCACGAAGGATGGGAAAAACAATTAAAGAGGTCAGTGGAGGTTACCAAGCAACTATGTCAGGCGTGACCAGGGAGATAACTGCTGCTTCCAGAGCACTAGAATGGGCAGCAAAACAAGCAGTCACACCTGCAGCAATCAGACTCCAAGAACATGCTTCTGAATATCACAACAGGCAGTAAAAGCTCTGGATGGGTAAAAAGAATTCGGAAACTGCAATTAACATCTCCGATCCAGATCTATGCACCTGGCCATGCCGGCATGTTAAGTAATAAACGAGTGGATCACCTGGCAAGCAATTCACTACATCATGTGGGAAGAAGCGGGAACAGAGCAAATATCAATACTGTACGGACTAGGTCAGTAGATAATGATGAATCTCTTATACTACCATGACTGCATGACCTGTAAATAAAGCATGGTGAAGCAAGTCTGTGCCGACTTCGAAGTCATGATAAGGAACATTATAACCAATTCCTCATTAGAACAATTAGTGGAGGTGCTTTGGAGTGGCTGCTGCATCCGAGGATTAAGCACACATGGGAATGTCCAATGTGCAGCAATGTCAACTGAGATAATATTACATAACATTGTTGTGTATCCTGCCAATACTGTTGTTAAGGATGTCAAGAGTGTTATGCATGTGACATCAAGGTGCAGACTAATACGGTGACGGACGTCATAATGACAATTAAAAGAACAAACAATTATAGCAGACAGCAAACATTTTCACTGTCAAAACACCAACACATGAAAGATTTTTTTAAAATACAGAGAAAACAGTTAAATAAATATAAATTCAAGCTTGTTTAAATACACAAAGATAAATTAAGTACCTAATATATACTGGCATAGAGTGTAGGGCATCCGTGTTTTGCGGAAATTTAAAATAAAGTCTTGTGCCGCCTGCCTCTGCTCTCTTGTTACCACATCAGGTGGTGCCTGAGGAGAAAAACAGGTTTTTAAATTTACTAAGTTTAAATGGTGGCCCAAAGTTACGTTTACAGATGTGTCTAAAACAATAGGCAGTGCAAGTGAGTTTCATAGCTTAGGGTTAATAGTCTTAACAGAAAAAACACCTACTGACAGCAGAGATAGTTTTTTTCTTCTTCTTCATGTTCCCCTGCTGCAAACTCCAGTGGAAAGTTCTGGGTGTTCGTCCACTTCTGGACTTGAGTCCTGTTTCAGAACCTGAGTGTTGTGTGTGCATCTGTTTTCACAGATCTGGCTTCTTTGCCTCTCAGGCAAATGTACTTTGATTTCAAAGGATGCTCCAAATTAGTCCACTCCTTTGACATGCTTGCTGGCAAGGCAGTGAATATGTTTTTGTTCTTCCTACAATGGGGCCCCGGAATCCATAAAGAGAATGTGGTTTTTAAGAAAGATGTCAGGAACATGACGGATAGATAGAAACAGAACTGAGGCAATCCTCTTCAAGACAGATGAAACCCTAAGCTGATTTGAAGAAAATTTCATGTCAATGGTTGATACTTTTTGGACAAGAACTAGATGACTGGCAAGTCTGATTAAAAGAGGCCAACGGGAAGGCAGAGAGATAAATACTTGGTGGAGGCTTGACCACATGGGGGGGGGGGGGCAAGATAAAAGCACCGACCTTATCTGTGACCGTGTGGGATGTTGAAATACAGAACACTACTCTTAAAAGAACAGCATGTCATCATGAGTGTCATGCCGAGAAAGTCATTTGCCTACTTTTACGGATTTTGGTTAACATATCTATGGACAGGGCTTAGTGCAGACATGGTGGGTGTGATTATTTTTACCCAAAACTGTGTTTTTTTTTTTTTTTACAAATTATTAGGTGTTACACAGATTTTTAAAACTTGTGACATCATATAATTTTACAATTACCTCATTTAAAATAATTTCATCAAACTGCTATCTTAGGCAAAGTAACCAAAACCACTTTTTAAGTAGTCCAAGGGAAGGAAATCAATTTGATTTTGCTCTTTTTAGGTTTAGTGATTACTTCCCTTAGCAAAGAAATTAAATTTCCCACAGTTAAACATGTACGGACTGGGTTTTCCTTTTGTTTCTCATTCAGTTACATAACATCATTAAAGATCTTCACACTTACTTGTCTGCTCAATGCTCTAGGTGTTCAACTTCCTAGATATTTATAAAAACTGAAACAGATTTCAGATTGCTTCTTCTTCTCTTCTAGTTTATTAGGGTACAGCTGCAGAGCAATTAAATTCTAAAAGGTCATTTTCTAAGATTCTTCTGGGACTAAAGGGTTAAGAAAAAATGTATAATGTAACAAATGCACTGTAAGTTCCTTCGTATTAGTTAATGACCTGCAAAGCTGGATCTTTATCAAACAACCTAATGTAAGTATAGTCAGTCATTTCAGTTTGCATATTATAGTTTCTAATTTCTGTCAACAATCTCTTAAAAACTTGAGGTCTAGTGTATACTATTCGTGGCTGCTTTATTCATTATCATTTAATAGGTTCTTTGTGGAACACTGCTCCCATCACAGCCCATAGTGATGGTGAGTGTGACTAGCCAAACACACACTGGTAAAACTGACCATGACACAAAGCCTAGACATTACTGCAGAGACTGTGTGTTACTAAGATAGCTTTCATAAAGGCTACCGGCCTCCTGATATAAGTTTTCTGACAGAAGGATCGAAGAAGAAGAAGAAGACTAAGACAGCAAGAACATTCTTTCAACCTGATTAATTTACTTCAAAGGAAAAGTTACACCAACACCAACATGTTTGGTGAGTGACACTCAACCCCCCCAGGACCGCTTAATAGTGATAAACACATGGTGACAAAAAGTGCCACCAGGGTACAAGTCCCAGAAACCCTACTGAACAGTTAGGTTATATTAGGGCCCCTGACTACAGCCAGGGTGGGGCTTTAAAATAACAAAAATAATGTTGGCTATCCTCCAAATAACAGTCCAAAATTATCGAGGCCGAAAATATACCCTAACAGGGCCTCAGTCAATGTAAATTGCGGACTTCCGGCGACTACTGCCACCGCCGAGAGTATCTCCCACGCCGCCATGCGCAGCGTGGAGCGGGGCAAAACTAGATGGCTGGGACTCACAAGCAAATAAAATGAAGGAAGCTGCAGGAGATGCGGTAGCTGCTGCTCGTGAGTCCCAGCCACCTAGTTTAGCCCCACGCATGGCGGCGTGGGAGATACTCTCACCGGTGGCGGCAGTTGCCGAAAGTCCGCAATTTACATTGACTGAGACCCTGTTAGAGTATATTTTCGGCCTCGATAATTTGGGACCCTTATTTGGAGGATAGCCATATTGTGTCCCATATGGGGCGAGTTTGGTTAAAGCATGTTTGGAAAAACAGCAGCTACTGAAGCTGTTGGAACATCCTTCCTAGAAGACTTGCTATCTGTCAACCAAAGTTAGTATCTATTTACCTTGCAGGTTGAATACTCATTTCCTAATCATAATATAATTCTGCTAAATCAACCGACAAAAATTATGGTAAATATGCATCAAACTACAGTAACACTATACTAGATGCTGACAGTAAATGAAATTCCATGTTTTTAATCCTAATCTCAAACATCAATAAATATGAAAGAATAGTATCATCATGTGAACTTATACAAACACTGGATTACATCTTCTATGGTGGACACAGTTATGTTAACTTATAACAGACTGTGTCCCCCTAGGGTCGCCGTTGCAAGTAGTGAATAATTTCATGCTTTATATTTTACTTATTACTTTCATTTATTTTGCACACACAAAAAAGGAGGTGGGTGATAAGATTATTATGTACTGAAAAGTAGGATTTTAAGATGCCTCTCAGTGAGGTGAATTTTTTCAAATTAATATTAATTCATTTAATTAAATTATGGAGCTTTGAGTTCAGTTACTAGTAGTTAGGTAGTTACATGGTATGTAGTAAATATTAGGGCTGTACCGAATAGTGATTTTCACTATTCGGCAGAATACGAATAACGGGACCAACTAATCGGCTGAATACAAATAGTGTATTGTCAATCAAATGTATCTAAAAAAAAAAACATTCATAATGTCAAATGTACGCTGAACTTTTACTTCACATAAAGTAGCCCAGAATAGTCATTTTCCTCTTTAGCATTCTGAGCCCTTGAGGTTTACTGCTGCAGATATCACTCCTCTCCATTCATCTCTCTGGCTGGCCTTCTCTTCACAATTTGTGACACCAGTTGTTTGCAGGTCTGTCTGGACATTATCTCTCGAACTTCTTTTTAGTCTGCCTCGGGGTCTAGGCCCATTCCTCTCTCAGGTGTATACAGTTTTACTTCTCTGTCATCTGACATTCTTTCAATATGCCCCAACCATTTTAGTCTGTTAGCTCTCATGATGCCAGTGATCAATGGTGATTTATGTGTTACGTTGTTGCTTCTCACTCTCCATTCCCCGCTGTTAGCATCTTTGATGGGTCCAAAGATTTGTCATAAGACTGTTTTCGAAAACCTGTAATAAGGCCTCATCTCTTTTATTTCTGCTTCAAGTTTTAGAGCCATATGAAACGACTGGTCTTATCAATGTTTTATATATTTTGATCTTGGTGTTGCGAGACAGCACTTTGATTTTAGCAGATGTTGAAGGGCATAGTATACTTTATTTCTAGATTGTATTTCTTCTTTCTGCATGTTGGAGCAGTTGAAGTTTGAACCCAAGTACTTATATGTTTCCCTTCGTTTTATTTTCATATTATCGACTTGGATTTCTACAGAATAGTAAACAATTAAAAACATTGTATGTTTTGCATCCTTCAGTCAGTCTGTGGTAACTAATAACTAGGAATGAAAGAATCCAGCTCTCCTTTAAATAACGGTCGCTAGCTGGAAGGCGACGGTCGCTTAGTCGGAGTTCACTCCCTTGGCTGCAGTGCAAATACGGAGTGGACAAGTCACGAATCAAAAACATTGTGGATGCTACTCAAACAGACAATTCGACATCAATTGGGCACTAGCCGCGCGCTATTGCCGTCATATTTAGGAGACTTCCAGTGGCACCACTCCCACAAGCAGCACATATTCGGCCATTATTTGGAACTCCTGCGTTAAAATTTTCACATATAGCGGCCATTATTATGGTTAAGTACTCGACGCTACATGTGTTACCCTAACCCAAACCCTAAGCAACCGTAGCATGACAGGTATGTCTTTTGTTTCGTTCCCTCTTTACCACTCCGCATTTGCACTGCAGACAAGGGAGTGAACTCCGACTAAGCCGCCGTCGCCCTTCCAGCTAGCGACCGTTAATCAAAGGAAAGCCAAGAATCCTAAGTATTATAACAAGTAACTAAACTTGGAAATTGTCACCGACAGCAGTTAATGCATGCATGAAAGCTGCATTAGCTTTTAACAAAACCAATCGTTCCATGTTGTCAGTATTAAGGCCGGGTAGGCAGAAGCGGGTGTAAGGTAACTACAAGGGCTGTACCGATTATTCGCTTTGGGGCCGAATTGACCTATTGACTATTCCGAACTTTTCGGGAACATTTCAAAATATTTACTTAGCTAACTGATAACTGCTAGTAGTAGTAGTAGTTGTTAGTTCTAGTGATTACGATTACGTTTAGACATGATATATATATTTTTAATTACATTCAAAACGAAAAAAAGGACAAAGAGTGTGTGTATAGTTTAATTTTCATCCTTTTGTAACATAATAGATTCCTCTATTTTACCATAAATATTTGCGAAGCCTGGTCCAACTCAAACATCACCGTATGTTCAGCCATCTTGGGGTTCAGCGAATGAAGAGCAGAGAACTCTGAACTGTGGCGATCTGTAGATAACATGCCAGCTTTCTCACAGGAACTAACCAAATACATTACAACTGCCGGACTTTTTTTGTGTCGGCCTTTCTGGTGGCAGTGCATATGTTATGATATGTTATCACAATCGACGTTATTGCACATCGAGCATTTCCATGCGTGCTCAGTACAAGAGCCACTTCAAGGTACTTCTCGCTATTGTTCCTATAAATGTTGAATTAAGAATAGGTACACAGCATTCGGGACACTCCCATAGGTGCTCGGTCCCCATCTTCAACAGCAAGCGAACAGTTCCAGTTCCGATGGTACCAGTAACTATCTGATTGTATACCCGTCTCATCCTTTCCCTGAGTGTTACAAGCGTTGGCCAAATCCCCTCGAAACACGTCACAGCACCATTCTCCTCAGACAGTAATGATCTTTCTGCGCCTCCGCACAGTTCACTCGTTCACAAAGGGCCCTCCCAATATCTAGCTTGTCATACATCCAATTCCCATGAGAAGTTGGTTATAGTGTCTTCTGTCTTGACCTCGAAGATTGTTAGTCGTGCTTCGCTAAGCTTTACTCACATTTCACACAGTCGTGCTAGTGTCAGAGATTAAATGCGTGTGTGCGCTATTGGCTTTGCTCATACTGCCCATACCATATAATCCCCCCCCCCCTTTTTTCCACCACCACAAGACCGGAGCGGAGTGGGGTGACCCCTTTTCTGTGATGTTATAATTATGATTACCTGATTAGAAATCTTGTTTGAATATTTTCTCGGGATATTGCAGGTGTGTTGTGAAATGAGCCGTCGGACAAATTCGCTGGTTCTGCATCACCTGGTGCTAATTTGATGTAAGACAGGTTAAGTGTAGCTAAGGTGTACCGTAAAGGAATAAACAACGTAAAGGCACCGACTGATAATCAGGGTCTACAGAGATTACTGCAGCCGGGAGTAGTCAGTTGACCTCGACGAAACTTAACACACAGAGGAAAGGTAAGATCTGACTGCTACTGGTACTTTTGATTTGATTTGATTCAAGAACCGACATCACAGCACTCGGGGCATTCCCATAAGCGCTCCGTCTCCATCTTCAGCAGCCAGCGAAGAGTTCCGATACTAATGGTGCCAGTAGCATTCTGATTAAACGTCCGTCTTGCCTTTCCTGGGAGCCTCGAGCATCTGCCAGAACCCATACTGCCCATACGACATCAAGGATGCCAGCATTGTTGTCTCATTCTGTGAAATTGTAGTCCTGACTAACATGACTGCCTTCATCCTGATGCTGGCTTTTGAATATCACTGGATCGGCCTGGAGAAGATCTTCCTCAATAAGAAACTAACGACACAGAACAGTTAGACAGGAAAATGCAATATTGCTTTTAACTCCTTGTGCCTTCTTCTGCTGTCCTTTGTCCATGTTAGAATATACACCCTCATGCGGGGTTGTTCAGTTAACTGTCGTCACCTGCAGATCCGTCAACACTGCCCCAATATTATTATTAATCTCTTTAATTATTTCCTTCTTCACTTCACTGAAAACTCACTTCACTTCGGGGCGTTATAACTATATTATTATTAATCTCTTTAATTATTTCTGTCTTCACTTCACTGATAACTCACTTCACTTCGGGGCGCTATAACTTTTTCCCCGGGTAAATGGAACCCGTTAGCTTTGGACAGCAGTCCGTATAGGAGGCGGCAAACTCCGAATTTAAACCCCAAAGTTCAAGGTATACACACCTGAACCTACCAATCAAATACCTTTCTTAAATGTTTGTGTATTCTAGACGAAGCAATAAAGTCTACGTTGTTCGTAAATTGTTGCTGTGATTGTTATTCGACATTTTCTTCGTTAATATACATTTCTGTAACCTATGGTGCCATTTCAATGGGTTGAAATGAATTATGTCCGTATTCCATAGTCGTGGATTTCAAGTTGTACGATAGACATGGCCAATAAGACACCTTTTTTTTTGGGGGGGGGTGCCTAGTTGATCATGTTCTTAGTGCACCTGTATTCATGGCGAGGCGCAGACGCCGTCTGGAGGTGACAGGTTCAATTCCCAGCACGGTAACTATAGCTTTCGATTTTTATGTTGTCTAGTGTGTTCTTTTATCTTTCTACTTCTTTCTATGAGTGCCGATCAATACACTTTCTGTTACTTGATTAAGTTCAAGGTGGGCCAACGTGCTGAGGAACTGGATGGCCACGGATGAGCTGGTCGTAAACGTTGGACGTCTAGCAGGTGTGCGGGGCGGCACCAGGCGTATGGACTCCTACTGGACATCCATTGCCCCTTCCCTAGCAGGCAGGCAATACTAGGTTGACCGGTCATTTCCTGCAGTACTCTATTTTTTCGTATTGATTTTAAAAATATACATAGGAATCGTCGCCCGAGCTACCGGGCACGTGCTCTGCGCTTGACACATTATTCAGCAGTTAGTGAAGAGGGGGTGATGAGGAGACGACGAGGGAATGGGGAGAGAAGAAGGCATAGAAACAGAAGGGCAGGTGCTAAAAGAACAAGACGAAAAGCGGAGAGATTGAGTTTTAATCATGTAAGAGTAGGATACTGGAACTGTCGGAGTGCTAGGCAGAGAGGTCCTGTACTGGAGAGGTTGATTTTTGATTTTGATGTCATCACGCTCCAGGAGCTAAATACTAGTACTATTAGAATAGGAACTCTACACTGTCTGCTAAAGATTAGGACATTACACTAATAGAAACAATGTGGAGGAGCAGATGGATCACCACAGTTTGGTGAGATTGATGCAGTTGGGGGTGACGAGAGGTTCTGGCAGAAGCTCAAGGCTCAGAGGAAAGGCGAGACGGGCGTTTAATCAGAAAGCTACTGGCACCATTAGTATCGGAACTCTTCGCTGGCTGCTGAAGATGGGGACGGAGCGCTTATGGAAATGCCCCGAGTGCTGTGATGTCGGTTCTTGAATCAAATCAAATCACTTATAGAAATTATCTGACTGCTGCGGTGTCCGATTTACACTCAGCTGAACGCAACACATGTCTCCTAATATACGTTTATCATATTGGCTCTTACTTCTTACGACATTAAAACCCTGCGTGCTTTTCCAGTGCTACACAATTCTATAGACTAGCCAGTAAAGTGAAACAGAAAAAATACCCAAGTGTCATTGCGTAAGATAAGTAAGCAAAGTAACGGACTTTTTTTCCCACGCCTTCATGTTATTGTGCATATAGGGCTAGACCAATGGGTTAATCGGCACTCTGTGTGTGATAGGTCAAAATCACGCCTGTCGCCTTTACTTCCCATGACTTTACATGCTACCCATTTAAGAATGGGTCAACGTGAGAGCTGAGGTCATTTTGTTTTAAAAGGTCCGGCTCCGTCAGATCTTAAACCTACGATCAACATGCGAGCGTCCCGCTACACCACTGAGGCTCCTTGCCAATGCGTTAGTTAGTCCTTTCCCTTAAACCTAGGGCGGCGCATAGGGCATCCGTTTTAGGTCTTGGATGCTTATTAGGTCATTGCTTAAAAGGGGGGGGGGGGGGGGTGGGATAGATTTTGGAGAGACTGAAAGTATAAAAAAATTTGTTAAAAACAAAACAAAACAAACACGTGAGATATTTTGGCCACATTAACAAACGTTTTTAACACCACACTGGATGAGAAAATTAAAAGTAAGCGAGCAACAGGAATACTGTGCGACAAATAAAAGAAAAGCGTCAAAGGGGACGAAGAAGTCTTATGCAGCGAACGCATAGGTCGAAAGACGGTGTTGAAAATCCACTGTAGTCAAATTGCCCTGGTGAGAAAAAGGACTCTTTTCTGAATGATTATTCTTTTTTCGCATTCGTAAGTTACTCTAAAGAAGTGTTAAAGGAAATGCAAGGTCTTTATGTTCGTTATGTTCTTTGTTCAAGCTGATATTTATTCATCCAGGGTTGTTTGCGATTCCTGATTGTGTTTCTTCTGTGCTGTGTTCATTATATGTCTGTTTAGCTCTCTATGGTAGCTCACAATGTTAGCGACATTCATTATAAAAAAAAAAAATAGGAAAAAGATATCGCCCAACGTGGGGCTCGAACCCACGACCCTGAGATTAAGAGTCTCATGCTCTACCGACTGAGCTAGCCGGGCTTATATAATCTTTTCCAAAACTATATTATATTTCATTTAAAAAATTTGGAATTATTGTTTGCATAATTATATAAATTTTATGCTTTTAATTGTGTCTAGCATTTAATTATAACCAAATTATTCAATGTTGTTTAATTTACAAATGGAGAATAATAATTCATAGTTTGAAAGAGTTCAAGGTCGTAGCTGCCGGTATCAAAGCAAACAAAAGAGGCTCAGTGCAGAAGCTGGCTGTTGACTGCTCAGACTGACAAACGAAGATCTAATCAGACAACCACAACAACACACTCAAACTTTCACTGATACATTTGTCTTCAGCCAAGCAAGACTTTACTTCTCATAATTATGGCTTATCGCTTGACAACTGCATTGAGAAATGTATCAAATATTGTGTCTAAAATGTGAGTTATAGTAAGCTTGTACTTACTTAAGACTTCCACTTGGCCTTGGTAATCAAATCTATTCCACAGTGGAACTCCAATTCGTCTCTTATAAATTCGTCGCTTTTTAAACACATTTTATTGAAAAAGTCACTATTCGTCCCTCCCCCGACGTTACCGGCGAGTCAGCAGATGGTCGACTGGCTCACTGCCGAGTGGTGATCAAAAGTGCCTGCATTAACTATTGTTTAAATACTTTATTTTTAATAAACACGAGTTTTTTACAGTAATTATTTTAATAAGTACCCTACTGTTAGTGGCCATGAGTCGTAAAAAGTGCGATGACGATAAAAAACAAAAAAGGAAAGCGGTGAGAACCACCATTGAATTAAAAAAGACAATTATTGCTAAGTTTGAAAGCGGTACACGTCTCAGCAGTTTAGCAAAAGAATTTAATATGCCGAGAACTACTATAGCTAGCATACTAAAAATAAAAGAAGCTATTAAATCAGTAGAAGTCGCAAAAGGTGTGACAATTCTTGCTTCTAAAAGATCGCCACTATTTGACAGCATGGAAAAGCTTTTGTTAGTATGGATAACTGAAAAACAGATGGCTGGGGAAAATGTTACAGAAGCTATAATATGCCAAAAAGCCAAGAATCTGTATCAAGATTTAAAGCAAAATACAGCAACAAGCAGTGCTGACGATGTTATCGATTTCAAGGCCAGTAGTGGCTGGTTTCGTAATTTTAAAATGCGATCAGGCATTCATAGTGTAGTTAGACATGGCGAGGTTGCAAGTTCAAATGCAGAAGGAGCTAGACAGTTTGTGCTAAATTTCAAAAACTTCGTAGACACTGAAAAATATGTCCCTCAACAAGTCTGCGGTTTTAACAAAACTAGTTTGTTCTGGGGAAAAAAGCCTAGACGGACCTACATTACGGAAGAGGAAAAGTCATTGCCAGACCATAAACCAGTGTCATTGTTTTCTTCATATGAAAGGTAAATTTCTTTTAAAAATTGTATTTGAATGTTGAAGGTTGAATAAAGAATCGACATCACAGCACTCAGGACACTCCTATAAGCTAATTATGTTTATATAGGCCTACAGTATAGTTGCGTCATGAGGACGAGTTTATCTCTGCATGTTGTTAAAGCAATAATCCCCCGTGTGGGTTCCGGGGCCCCATTGTGGGGAAAACAAGAATAGACCCACTGCCTCCCCAAAAGCATGTCGTAAGAGTCGACTAATTGGGGAGCTTCCTTTGAAGTCGGAGTGCATCTGCCGGAGAGGCAAGGAACCAACAGTCTATATTCAAGAGAATGAGATCTGTAAAACTGATGCACACGCAACACTCAGGTTCTGGAGCAGGACTGCAGTTCAGTAGTGGATGAGCAACCAGAACCTTCCGCCGGAGTGTACAGCTGGTGAACGCGAAGAAGAAGAAGAAAGCAATAATAAGTTCATGGTTATTAGGTAATTAAAATGAATTTACAGTGTTTTCCAAGATCGATTTTTACAGTAACAATTTTGTTTGTTAAAGTTATAGATAAGCTAAATTCAAGGCTGATAATTGATGAAACCATTTATAGTTAATTCCTGTAGGAAAAATTTGTTTTTAAATTCGTCATTTTTAATATTTATCGTTCCCTCAGGATTGGATTAATGATGAGTGTTGGAGTTCCACTGTAATTATTAATGATTTCTTGAAATTTGAAATGATTGTAAGTGGCACCTCGACTTATGAACCTAATTAGTTCCTGACTGTGGTTCAGATCTCACAAAAGTTTGTACTCGAAGTTTGGGCATATAACAGAAAATGATGCATATACTTAACCAGCAGCTGATTATTTCATGGTTTGGGACTGCTAACATTATCTCATACTCAAATAGAGAAGCGTGAGCGCATGCATAATGAAGCTATGTGAGTCATTTTGGGATGTACTCGGGACACACCATTTGTGTGCACAAAACACATACTTGCATTACCATCCGTAGATGAAAGATACGAGGTTTTAAAGTTGAAAATATACCCTAAAATTGCAATGGATAGGGAACACCTTCTGCCTGAGGCCTTAGGGGATAGCAAGGGACATCAGCTGAAAAGAGGTGGCTCTTGGATGGCAAAGACAGAAGTCACAATCATAACTGTTTGTACTGCTGACAAAATAGCGCAGACTTGTGCACAGAGTGATAGTTACTTTGGTCTGATGATTCCGGAAATGGATAGCTAATAAAACAGAGTCAAAGGTACAAGAGCTGATCAAGGAAAATTCCTGCTAGGTGACTTCATTATAAATACATATGGGTCTGTAGTGGGAGTTAAGAAGACTGGGTGGGGTTTTATTGCAAATTCAAATGCACACTTTTTTTGAAAATAGAGAGATGTCCAACATCACTACGTCCAGTTTGAAAATGGAGGTGGAGGCAGTAACGGCAGCTTTCCGATGACTTGAGGGCAGCACAACTCGACATGTTTACATTGTAACGGACTCGAAGTGCATGCTTTGGAAAACAAACTGGCAACCTGTGCTCAGAGTGGCTTGCATCACTTAATGAAACTCAGATCATGAGCATGTCATGTTGTTAAGGTGTGTGAGGTAACAATCAGACTGATAGTTCAGCTGATGCTGCTGCTCTGGGTGATAAGCTACTTTACGATAAAGCGGACAAGATGAAGGCTCTCTGTTATCAGATAGACAATGCAGTAGAACAGAGTCCTTACATCAAAAGACTAAATCAACAGGGTTTAATAGAGGTTCTGGAAGATACTCAAAACTGAGGGGGAAAACATAAGCAGATTTTTATTATCAGGTTGCAGCTGGTACTATTAGCATGTCAACTCTTTGTTGGCTCCTGAAGAAGGGGATGAAGCACACGTGGGAATGTCCCAGTGCAGTGATGTCAATTCTTGATTTATTCATTCATTCATTCATTTCTGGAAACCTAATTTTTCATTAAATCTTACGATAAACCAGTCAATCCTTTCTTAGATTAAAAATAAAAAAATAAAAATTATAAATGGACCATTTTGGCGTTGTCCAGCGTAAGGAACATTTTAATAGGCAGATACTTTTCTTGTGGATACCATTTCACTGGGGGAGCAAAGACCTCTGTCCTTCACTGACAGAATAATTGTCAGGTTACTTAAGCACTGCATTTACTTTTCCACAAAAAGTTGTATCTGTGTCTGTTAACTATCTGTTGTTTATATAGTATGATCTTTAGAATGATAATCTAACAGAGGTTTTATTTTCAAATCACTACTGGCACAGCAGAATACAGAAAGTTATTTTTCATAGGCCTATGTCCTAGCAGTTCCATTTCCTCATTATTGATAAACGTTCCCTTAAGCATTTTCATCGCCTTTGAAAACTTATCCTGGTTTGTAACTTTCTGACTCCATCATTTACTGAAATTCCTCCACCTACTTTTCGGTGGCTTTTTTTGTGTCAGCGCTAGCACTTTCTCCATGTCTGTGGATACTGGTTCTTTTCTTGAATTTCTGTTTTGCTATCTCAAACTCTTGACCAATGTCTTTTATAACGCTAGTGATTATAAATAGCTTGAGCTTTTAAACTGATAATATTTTAAGATACACTGTCTGCTTTCAGTTTAATTTCCTTAATTCATACAAGTACGCCTGTGTGTCACCGGGACCCTTACAGGAAGCAAAGAATAGTAGCACTGCACCTTATCAGGCATGTCGTAAAAGGCGACTAAGGGAAGAGTTGGGCTTGAGTGAGGTTGGCTACCTCAACCTGTAAAAACAATATCCACAAAAACCAACCAACTATGGAAAAGTCATAAAGAGAAAGAAGAAAACCCTCGCAAAAGATCTATTTGACTTTCTGACCATAATCTAGAGGATCTGGATCTGTAGGGCCCGGGCAAACCTTAAAATGTGTGCTGATAAGAAACACCCACTGCATGAAGCAATTTTCAGTGAAAAGGATGATAGTCTGAAGAGGGGAAAATCATTCCTAGGTCAGGCAAGAGATGTTGTCGAGCAAATATGCAGCCTAACCGACATCAACCTTGGTGCAGAGTGGATACGTGTGCCTCATGCATTTATTTGTACAGTTTGCTGTATCGCCACTCAACAGGCGATGCAGAGAGCAGAATCCTTTTGCTGTCAATGCAGAGGTCAACACTCTCATAAGTGAACATTCAGACAAGGCAGATGTACTAATCTACACAGACAGATCCTTTATATGCCAACAAAGAAGCGCATGGTCGTTCTCAGCACACTCAGCAGGCAGAACGGTCAAAGAAGTCAACGGCGCCTTCTCAATGATAACCTGCAGCATGACGATCGAGGTGATGGCAGTAAATCTAGCCTTCGCGTGGCTCAAAACACAAAACTACACTCTCGCTTGTGATGTCAGTGATTCAGTGAGTAATCTGGTAATCCTAGTTTCAGCATCATAGCAAACGGGTCACCCCATTGTTGCTCCGCTCCTGTGCCAACGAAAAACCTCGTAGCTCACAGTGTCACACCATGCACTCAACTCAGAAGCTGGGTGACGAAACTATAAGTATTCAGTGAGTATGATCTGGAGGGTTCAGGCAGGTTTGGTGCTAAGGCAATGGCTTCAATCATTACAGAAGTTCACTGTGCGTGTAGTCACCTTTATTTTTTTTCCAGGAGACGCGGGCATCGATGGAAATGAAAGAGCTGATGGGTTGGCTGGATCCGCCATCATTGTCAACCTATGGATCAGTTGATATTATTAATGCCCTCCAAGAAATGGGAAGGGTGTAAGACTTTGGCCGTGGTGAATCCACATCAGTTTCCAGAATGAAAAACTTGGGAGTTGAGATCGGATAAGCAAACAAATGAGACGCACACCAGGCACATCCGAGGACTTATTAATCAACGTAGAACTGGGACTATTAGCCACAGGACACTGAGGTTCATACTGAGCAAAGTATCTGAGTACCTAAGGACATGTCCGGAGTGCAATGATGATAATCCGACTACTAACTAATTAACTAACCTCAGTGACAGTAACTTCTATGTAGTTGATCTAGTTTTGTTACATCATCCACTACGATAAAAGTCTGACATGCTGAAGAAGCAAAGCTATCATTTTTTTGCTATACCTGAAATCCCAGGTCTGCAGGCTGATTTCTGCTGGCTTCTAAAGGCACGGCCTGTGATGTGTCAGAAGTTCAGTATTAAGAATTGAGGTTAGTCATGAGTAGGACGTTATTATTCCTTGGATGAACCCAGTATCATGTATTGGCTCTGTATTTGTGAAAGCTTCCATGTATAGTAGGAAAAGCTCATGTTCTTCTCTTAAGGGCTGACCAGCATTATGTGGCTGTTCTGGACCAGCCTTATTGGGGGCCACATATGGACTAGGAAAGAAACATGATGACACAACAGTGAAGCTGTGCAGTACCACACAGATCTAACATGGAAGAGGAACCTGGGCAGCAAATGCGTGAAGTTGGGTGTGTGAAGACTTTAACATGCAAATATTGCAGCCATGCTTTAAATGGACACAATGCAGTTAGTTCTCAGATGAAATAACTCATTGGCTAACATACCTACCTGGTGGTCGAATCCCTCTTGAGAATAGAATTTTCAAATTGTACCTGGACTACCCGCTAATAACTTGCCTTTTCTGGCAATGTTTGTTTGGTATGCAGTGTGCCTATTATTTGTTTTCTCCAAAATGGCTCCCGGAATCCGCAAGGGGAGTATGGAGATGTGGGAAAGGACTTTTATTCTCTCTTTTTATGTGTGTGTGTGTGTACACACGTGCATGCATGCAAGAGTGATGTTTCCATTTTCATTTTGTTGTTTTGTATATGTATATAAAAGGATTTGTTTATCGGTAAAAGTAACGCCGATCTCCCCACGCCCCGCCTATATACACACTAGCTCACTTTTGATTGGTGGTTCCTGAATCTGTCACCTTGGCATAAGGTTACAGAGGTGTTTCACAAGGCCTTTGATATCGCTT